CCGCCCGTACGTCGACCAAAAAGATGTAGAAGAAGATTCTATGTTAGATGCAAGTGAGTCGTACGAAGCATCTATAGCTAGTGTAGAGTAATTCAAGTTTTCATATGTGATGTTCGCGATGCCAAGAAAAAGTGGCACACTCGGTGGGGTGGCACTCTCGGTGGTGGAATACGTTAATCTTAGTTCATAAACTTTAGACTAACACCTTTGTATCATTTTTATTAGAAAAAGGTTATACTAAAGTATCTAAGCGCGTTATCTAAGCGCTAATTAGGTGGTAAGCAGAATCTAGGTGCTAATGGTGACACTAAGGTTCTGCGCTTGTCGTCTGAACGTAGTTTAGATAGCGCACGCATAGCTTAAACTAAGATTCTATCAAGGTACTATCTAAAGAGCGTTTAGCTTGTTATAACTACCTTAGTAGCAATTAGATACTATACTTAGATACTTTAGTATAGCCTTTTTTTAATAAAAATTGTAAGAGGCTACGCCTAAAGTGTGTGTGATCGAGTATATCTATACGACTACCTGGACTTCAAGAAGCTTGAAGTCTTGTTACTGCCTTTTTGGCTATGGATGGCGTAAGTAGTCGTACGCTCGGCCCGTTGGGCCCGCCCATTACAAAAATAATATAAAAGTATTAGTTTAAAGTTTTACAGCAAGAACTATACGTAAAAGGTAATAATATACTCTACTAGTAAGCTATATATACAAGTAAGCTAGGTGTTATATAGTAAGTAGGCCTCTACCTTAGAATCTCTTTTTCTATAATAAATTTTCCTGTACTAAACTTAATTAAGTAATAAATAGCTTATTTAATAGTTTTAGTTAAGATTTATAACTTTCTTATATAAAGTAATATATTAGCTATAACAAATAAAAGGATATTAGCCTACTTACCTTACTAAGACTTAAGTTTCTACTTACTAGCCTAAATAGGTATCGCTTATTACCTATTATAGCTAGTAAATTTCTAATATTAATTAGTAATAAATCTATACTAAAGCTATAAAATAAGCTATTAGTTACTTAATTAAGCTTAGTATTAGGAGAGCTATTGCAGAAACAGAGATTCTAAGGTGGAGACCCATTCGCCACGCTAACCTCTACCTATTCACTAGTCTAATTGCACCCCTCTTTAGTGTACAGGCACCCCCTAAACAAATTAAATAGCAGGAGTGCACCTTACTATACTACTATAACACAGCGCAACGTTAAAATTCTATAAATCTTTTTAGGTATTTTAAATCTTTCTAGTACTAAATGTAATAAGAGACCTAAAGTATTTCTAAGATATAGACCTTTTACTCTATTAGAGTGTTGTGTTAGATAATAAAAGCACAAACTACTGCCATTTTTTCTGTCGAGGGGGTGCCGGTAGTCTGCCGCTGCCGCTCCACTTGGGACATAGTGATCGACGAGGACAATAATGAATCTGGAAACCATTGACGAGTAACAAGCCACAGGATGCAGATCCGAGAAACCCATGAGTTTTGCATCTGTTTTCAGTAGTGCTCTTAACTGCATTGAGATGACGGTACTCGAGACTACAGCGTTAGCCAGCTGCTCTATCCATCTCGTGCATTGAAGCTGAAAGATGCTCGAATGGCTCGCAGTGCCGAAGCCACTCGAGGGACATTTCCCGTGAAGATCATGTCGCCGACTCCGCGGATCAATGATGCAGCTGCTGTGAGAAGACGTGGAAGCTCCAGCCAAACACGTCAGCCAGCGTTCTCGTCAAGGTCTTTATGAGCAGATGGATGCTCGCGAAAGTCAGTCGGCCACTTGATCCTCCAACCTCTTCACCAACAAGACTCTAAAGTAGTGGCGTGGACAGCACAGCTGCCTCAGCGCACGAAACCAAAGCCAGGCTTTCCTTCCAAGTCGCTACCCCTACCTCCAGTCCTGTGTCTCACAGCGCCTTTTTCACCCATACCAGAACCTGAACGCGAGCCTGAATTCAAAATGGCAGACGCTGCGAAAGAGTACGTGCTTAGCTCCCCTCCCCTTATTCCCGTAAAGCATGCTGACTCCTTCTCAGCCTCACGGGCACTGACGGCAACGCAACCGGCGGCCGCGGCCTTCCCGACGTGGGCGAAACCATGGGCTCTGTAACCAACCCCGGTGGCAAGAAGGGCAAAAATGGAAAAGGCAAGGGCAATACCGACGAGGAAGACGACGACGTGGGCTTTGGTCTTGAGAACGGCAAGGATGTCAAGGGAAGCCTGAAGATACACATCAAGCTGGACTTGGAGGCTGACATTCGGATTATCGCGAGGGTCAAGGGCGACATTGCGATTGGGATCCTGTAGGCTGTTCAGCTAATAATGTTTCCATGTTTTCTTTTTGCTGGTTTGTGGCTGCGTTGCCTCGGAGAGTTTCGAGCGTGCCAAGCTGGGACATGGAGGAGGCTTGAATGAATACGAATCCCTTCGGTCTTCACCGACGTGCTACGGATAGACTTCTGTCTTTTTAGCGCTTGCACTTGGACGCTTCTTCTCTCCTGCTGTACTTGTATGCACGCAAGCCGCGGTTACCAGTTTGTTGTCCCACATGACGTATATCCTGACTCGCGCATCCCGCGATATATTGCTTGTTTTGTCACAGTCACGTCTTGGCTGGCTCGCATCGAGGGCCGTCGGATGTCGGATACAGGGCCCACAGCACGTTGCCTCGGCATTGTTAAGTAGGCGCTGCATTCGAAATGTGTATCTGTCCTTGGCATTGGTATCGGATCTTCGGACGCTCTTGGATGCGGGATCGCAGAGCGTGGCTGTCTACCAGGTCAATGGGCGCCTGGTCAGCGTTGGGGTTAGCTGGTGCTGCAGTCATCACGTGATGCACGCCGTGTCGCTAAGGGCTGTGGAATTTGCGTCGAAAATTGGATCAAAACCGCAGAGAAGGTTGTGATAGCATTTAATCTGTTCGCATATGATTAATGTAGTTGCATTCCATAGTCATCTCGCCTTGAAGAAAACTGCTTAGGGTAGTAAGTGTCGTGGAAGAACATTATCACTTTATCTGTATTAGATAGCATCTCAAAATCAGTAGAAGTGAACAACTTGGAGACCACGATTGTGAATTTCAGCAAAAGGGCGATGAACCAAAAATGCACCGATCAAGACTGTCGGGATGTGGTTGTTGAGGTAATCTGGCGTCGCCGTAGGCGCCACCAACAGAACGTGCGGGGATAGAAGCCCTTGAAAATCTGGGGGCTCGCGATTTGCCACCAGGCAGCATCGCCGGCCTGCTACCTAACACTGACCACCAGTTCAATCGTGTCAAGACGATCTGGAGCACCCTGGACATGTTACTCGACTAGGATATTCCTTACAGCAGTCGGAGGATTGTGCAATCTTCCATGATCTAGGGCTTCAAGACAATGGTTACAATGCGAAAGCTTCCAATATATACTCATGTGTCTCGCTGACTGTACATCCAGGTGTTGACTAGATAGTCTTAATTGACTTGCTATCATGACACTCGTACTCAACATGCTTCTCCTATCTCCTACATGTATTCAAAGAGCCCGTCAAACTCTGTCATCAACTCTTATCGGACCTTTGCCATCTTACGCAGTTATTGTATGAACCAGGGTATACCATAGTCGAACGTATAAATCCCCCCTGTTGCTGCAGGCAATAATCAACCGGATTACAATCTGACTACATTGGATCTCTACATAGTCGGCCGGCGTTAAGATGAATATTAAGTGGCCAGTGCCGACCCGTAGCGGCACGGCAGCGAAATGAGGGCAAAAGTAACAGCAATAACGACAACCCATATCATCATGGAGAGCTCAGTCCACAAGCCATGCACCCCTCGAATCGAATGCAACGGCGCTGGCACCGACCTCCGTCGATGTTTCTGTCGGCCATGCGCCGAACTGCTTGGCTGCGTCCCACTGGCACGCCGTCTATTCACCGCCGCCATGCAAAACGAAGCCTATAGGCTCGCGGCGGCTTCTGGGATCGGCAAATACGCCCCTGTCGCGTCTTGGCCGACTTCTACCACTTATCCGATGGGTGAAGTCAACCATGCGACGTCATGCAACTTGTGCAGCGGAAGCCTGTCAGACGCCGCGGCACTACCCCGCAAGACGGCCGCCTGTGCTTGTTTACCCCGGACCGCCCAGAAAGCGTTTTGACAGACTCCACACGCCCGCGGGCGACTCGTTCAAGCGGAGGGGAGGGGGGCATGCTAACGGGAGATCGCTGCCAAAGCAGGTATGCCGGGTGCAGTAGTGCATTTCGACCTTTGAATTCTCCCAAATGAATCCTTATAGCATACGCGCTGGCCCAGTATGCGTCGAGGCCATGTGCATTGCCTGCCGTCTTCACCTTCTCTTTTTTTTTTAAGTCCGTCCATCTTTGTTTTCTCGATCCCGCATTGGATAGATAGGAGCGGGGATACCGTTTACCAGCATGGCGACCGTCATGGACCAGGACAAGCTCTCGGTCGAGCACCAGCAGGCTGAGAACATCGCCGAGAAGATGTCGCATTCGTCAAAGTCGGGTGAGCTCGAGGCGCAAACAGTCGAGTACGATGAGAAAGAGGCTGCGCGTGTGCTGAGGAAGGTCGACATGAGACTTGTGCCTTTGCTGTCCTTGCTCTACCTCGTCGCCTTCATCGACCGAAGCAACAGTATGTCTTGCCATCATCGCCACCCTCGGTTTCTGGTAACAGAGATTTAACACACAAACAGTTGGCAATGCAAAGATTGCGGGCATGACGAAAGATCTCAAAATGAGCGGCTCGCAGTACAACACTGCCGTTACGCTCTTCTTCGTTCCATACACTCTCCTCGAAGTCCCCAGCAACATTGTTCTCAAGATGATGCGCCCCAGCTACTGGATGGCGATTCTGATGTTCAGCTGGGGTCTCGTCATGACGCTGATGGGCCTGACGTCCAGCTACGGCGGTCTTCTCGCAGGCCGCTTCTTCTTGGGTGTTACAGAAGTACGTGAAGCCCCCCCAAAAAACCAAACACTTCCAGATTTGACTCCGCGTACTAATTCAATGCTATAGTCGGGTTTCTTCCCTGCTGCAACATTCCTCCTAACACTCTGGTACCGCCGCTTCGAAGTCCAACGCCGCATGGCCGTCTTCTACATCGCCGCCTCTCTCGCCGGCGCCTTCAGCGGTCTCCTCGCCTACGGCATCGAAAAGCTTGACGGGCGTTCCGGACGCGCAGGATGGCAGGTAAGCAGCTAGATGTGATTTCTCTATAAGAAGGACATTTCTTTTTTTTTGCTAACACAAACAAGTGGATCTTTCTAATCGAAGGTCTCATCCCCATTGCCCTCGCCCTCGTCATCTGGAAGATCCTCCCGGACAGCCCTGAGACGGCGAAATTTCTCACCCAGCCCGAACGCGATCTCCTCGTTGCTCGTCTCTCTAACGACGCAGGCTCGGGCCAGGGCCAAACGACAAATGCCGATAAGATTGGCAAGCAGCAGATTCTCGCCGGACTCTCAGACTGGAAGATTTGGGCTGCGACGGTTGTTTTCTGGGGCAACACCGTCGGTGTGTATGGGTACGTACTCTTTTTTTTGTTCATCACCCCGTTTTCTTTTTTTCTATCAAGAAAGAGGCTGATATCACATGCAACAGCTTCACCGCGACCGTGCCTTCCGTCATCCAAGGCCTCGGCTACACGAGCGCAAACGCGCAGCTCCTGACCATCCCCATCTACGTTTTCGCCGCGATCCTAACGCTGATATTCGCCTGGGCCTCTGATCTGACGCGCCGCCGCTCTCCCTACATCATCGCGGGGTACTCCATCGCCGTCGCGGGCTTCATCGCGCAGCTCGCGATCCCGAAGCCAAAATACCCGGGTATCACCTACGGCTTCCTGTTCCCCGTTGCCGGCGGGCTCTACTGCCCCTTCACGTGCCTGGTATCGTGGATCGGAAACTCGCTGGCGCCGTCGTCCAAGCGCGCCGTCGGCATGGCGCTCCTGATTTCCGTGGGGAACATGGGCGGCATCATGGGCAGCAATGTTTATCTTGCGCGCGAGGCCCCCAAGTACACGACGGGTTTTGCCGCCAGTTTGTCCATGTGCTGTCTCGCTATTCTCATGACGTTTGTGCTGCGCTGGGCGTACTCAAACGAGAATAAGAAGCGCGATTTGCTGATTGCGGAGCACGGCGAGGACGCGATTCGCGCAAGGTACTCGGAGGAGGAATTGCTGCTTATGGGAGACAAGAGCCCGTTTTATAGGTATACTTTGTAAGAATATGTCGATTTGCTTGCGAGAGGATGGCGCGGCTTTGCGTAAATACAAAGAGAGAGAGATAGGGAGAGAGAGAGAGAGCAGCCATCCCTGATGTATTTCCGAATCTTATTCTTCTTTAACGAGAATGAAATAATGATCCTGGAAAAATATAGATACAGTTTCTGTAATCCAAAAAAAAATCCAACTTTGATGCTCCCTTTATATTTCCCGATTGTCTAGATCTAGTTCTGTTCGGTAATAGGCTCGTCGGCTTCTTCATCGTTGTCCCATTCACATGGTTCTACGCTGGTGCCTCTGCAGCAAGGGAGACACGCGCTGCCGTTTCCCAGACTAAGACATTCATCTACACTGAATCCTCTTCGCTGGCACCGCTTACAAACACGCAATTTGTTTCCCTTCTTGAGCTCGCTCCTCCAGTTCTCGTCGTCTATGATGCGGTAATTGATACCGTTGAAGCGCCAAAAGTCATCGCTGTTGTACATTTCTTCTTCCACCGGGAGCTCCTCGCCGTGCATGTACGGTGGAATAAATGACTTTCCACCAGAAAATGTTTCGCGCGAGACGATGAAATGCGACTTTGGGCTGTACGATTTCAGCGTCGACACAATCTTGTACGTTGCTGCGCGGTCGAAGAAGAGCGCACTCAGGAAGTGCGATTGCTCGGTCGGGTCTCCGATTTCGAAAAGACGGAAGAACGAGTGGTCTGAAAACTTCAAATGTAGCGTAAAGTCTTCGGCCAGAGTATGGGGTAGGCATTCCTTGGCAAGCGAGAGAAGCGACCTGAAGGTGATTTCAGACAGGGAGCGCAGGTTTTGGCCAGAATTAATGGAAATGGCAGAGTCGAGCATCTTGAGAGATTTGAGAGCCGGTGGAAAACCATTCCGGCGGAGATAGTAGTAAAGGTGTGACTCGAAGCCTAGTTCAAGCTGCTCGAGTTGAACCAGCGAGCGTAGTTTTGCAGCGCCCTCTGGATCCGTGTCGCGCGGAGTCAGGTGTCCAAGGTGGCCTCCGCAGTGGGTCAAGCGCAGCAAGGAGTCTGCTTGCCTTTGCAGCGCAGTAAGGAATAGCTTTGAGGATGTGCGGTGGTCTGGATCCATGAACGGCTGGCAGCCTTCAAAGACGTGCAGTCGCTCACCAATCGATAGCTCCTTCAAGGCCTTTGGGAGACTCAGAACGGCATCTAGAAACTGCACGCCAACGTTGCATTCGATGAGGGTCAGCGATTGAAGCGGCGTCGACTTGACTTCGTGCTCAGCAACTTCAAACGGCCCTCCGACTCTGGTGTCGAAGTTCAGGCACGACAGGGTGATATTGCGTAGTGTTGGATGTCTAAACATGGCAACTGCACGGCCAAGAGTGAACTTATTGTCTCCCGAGCCATGCGCATGTAGTGTTACTATCGCAGGTCAGCCTGTCTCTATTCATCTCGATGCTTGAACCTACACGACTGCAACGCGGGCAAAGCCATGGGCATATCCATCCGAGGATACACGGCACTAGCTAGTAAGTTGGTGTAGTCGATCCTCGAGTACCCATCAAAATATATCTTTCCTAGCTGCCATTCTGAGTTGTTTGGACAGGGGCTCTCAATGTGCAGATGCCGTAGCCTGCGCATCAAGCCTACAAAGTGATTCAAGTCTTCTATCCCATCGCGATATTGGTCGTGATATCGGATGGCAAGGTCTTGGATGTAATCCGATCGCTCCTCCCGGGCGTCAAGTGCTCTGGCGACCCTGCGTGCATGCTCGCCCTTGAGCACCTCGATATTTCGCCAGATATACGGCTCAACAAGCCCCTGGAATCTTGTGCATGTCGCAGCGAGACTGCATAGCGCATCTCGGGAATCAATATGGTCGATGATGTTGAGGAGAAGCTCATCGACGAGGTGTAAAAGTCCGCTCTCGGCAGGGCCAAGCATAGTGATACCAGGCTCCTGACGTGCTCTTCTAAACGTGTACCCTGAATGACGCGTCTTGCGTTTTTTGGCTCCAGCAAAAGATATGCTTGGCATTCAGCGATGTCCAAATTACGATATTGACGATGTAGGTGTACGGAGACTTTAATGCAGCGAGCGGGTTTGCATCCGTGGCGGTTCGAGCGAGGATCATTTGACCAACAGGACGAGTCCTGAATGATGTCAGATAGGCTAGTACTAACTGAGACTAATTAGCCACGTGATGAAATGGAGGGGTCCAGTTAGGGGCGTCGTTATGCAACACATCACGAAGTCAAGACCAAGGTTCTATTCACGGACCACGGAAAATCATAGTCTTGATCATGATTTTATTGCTAAGCTAATTCGATGAGGCCCTAACTAAACATAGCGCAGACTATGAATGCGATATTACAAAAACGCGCTCAAATTGTGTACAAATATCTTGGGTTGTCTTCTCCCATCTCCGCAATCTCTTCTTCAGTCTTGCCCTCGATCCTCCAGTCCTCTTGGCCGGACATCTTCTTCTTGTTCTTCATGCGGAAGTACAAGTGTAATGCTGTGTAGATTGCAATACCCAGTGTCAGTAGCCCGATAGTAGCACCGTATCCAGGCTTGTATGTAGGCGCTGTAGCGCTGCTGTACAAGAATGGAGCGGCGATGCCGGAGCAATTTCCAATGGTAATTTGCATGCCACTGGCAAAGGCTCGCTTTCCATACCGAGGGTTGTTGACACCGATCCAGGAAAAGGCAATTCCGGTTGCGACCCAAAGTCCTAGGGCCACGATAAAACAGCCAGCAAAACTGAGGCCGAGGCCCTTGTCTGCAATGAGAAAGATGTATCCGATCAAGCTCACAGCGAGGCCGGCAATGCAAAAGAGGCCCCTCTGCTGTGTCTTGTCGCTATAGTATGCTCCAACGACGTAGGTAATGAAGCCAGCGACGTACACGGGGATGGTCAGAGCTTGGACTTCTTGACGGGTCCAGCCACCTCCTAGCCCGTTGATAATTGTGGGAAGGAACACCGAAAAGCTGTAGAGCATGCCAAGTCCGACAAACTGAGCAATGGCGTAGGCATAGACCTTCCAGTCTTTGACACCATTCATGACATCTTCTTTGTGGAATTCTTGTCCGGCTGCTGTCTGACCGACTTCTCTCATGCGCATTTGGATCAAAATTCGTCGATCGTCTTCGGTCAAGAACTTGGCCGTTTCGGGGCTGTTTGGAAGAACGAATGGAACGGCGATGGCGGTTAGTACAGTCGGGATGCCGTTGATAAGAATAACTAGGAAAAATCAGATTAGCAGATATTCGGCGCAATGTTCACAGTGCAAACTTACTCCATCTCCAACCCCTCCATCCTGCTGCACGATCCATCTCGCCAATAGCGTAAGCGACCAGTCCCTGTAAGCTGTCAGAGCAACTCTTGGAGAAGATACGGGTATTGTTTACTTACTCCTAGTCCACCAGCTATGGCAGAAGTACCGTAGAAAGTTGCCTGTCTGAGGGATACATTCCTCCTGTTGTAAAACATTGACAGGTATAGTATGACTCCAGGAAACAATCCTGCTTCGAAAACTCCTAGGAGAAGTCTGCAGGCGATCAAAGCAGCGTAGTTGTTGACAAAAGCAGTAAAAGTGGCTACAAGTCCCCATACGAACATGAGTCCTCCAAGATACCTCGCTGGCTGCATCCCTTATTGACGAACAGTGTCATTAGTATACTTTCCTGCACACTGGATATGCATGACTCACTCTTGATAATCATATTACTGGGCGTCTCGAAGAGCTACCAGACGGTAAGCGTATGTATACAGATCTTGTATTTGGGCAGCAACTTACAACATAGGTGACAAATAAGATGGAGACTGCAAGCTGGAACTGGTCGCTTGTTTCGTCCATACCAAGGTCTTCCTCCATGCCGTAGAGACGTGCATTTCCAATGTTGACTATCACGTTGTTAGAGGGACTCCACTGCCAGATAATCTCAACACACCTCGGTCCATGAAGTTCATCAAATAGATCCAGCAAATCATTGGTACAATGCGAACGTCCAACTTCCTCAACACTCTTGCCTCAGTCGCGGCATCAATCTCCATCGACCCGGCGGAGTTTTCGACATCCTCGACTTTCATGGGTGGGGTCGGCGAGGTATCGGAGCCTTTTTCGTCCTTGTAATCCGGTGCATTGTGCACCGGGTCCTCTGCGTGTGTATTCATGCTTCGAATACAACAAGCGGTACTTGAAGAAATGAGATTAGAAAAGGGTTGTACCGGCAAAGGAGTAAGAACGCGGCGATCCTCGGTGACAGACCTAGCACACTGGTCCCCGTCTTGAACTTATAACCCGACCACCTGGAGCATGTGTGCTCAGCCCCATGGGGAAACTAGAAGTGCCACGGCCTTGGTAACCCGATAGACGCGCCGTTGAATTCACTAGTCCTGTCATCCCAAGACTGCTGTGCATTCGCAGACGAGAAGTGCCGATAACCGTTTGCCCGCCATGGCATTCTTGGAACCTGCATGCAATGGTATTTCCAAGCATCTTCTACTCTTGGATCGCTAAACAGTGGATGGCTCGTGCGCCTTGGATATCTGACCAGGATTCGGAGACCCTTGGATCTTGGGTCAGATTAGGAAAGCTGGAGAGCGTATCAATCCTACCTCATTAAATCCATTGATGAGACAGATATCTTGACAGCCCCCCTATTCTTGATCAATCCCTTCAAGACAGTACGTTGAGTGGATGTAGGCTCAAATGTAGAGTGCTGCTATTAAACTTGAGTTCCGTATTCGTCGGCAGTCTGCTCAAGTCGTACTGGACGGGCGTTTCCCACCAGACCTCGGAGAAGAATGCTTTGCTCAGCTGGATGGACGGCCTAAATGCCAATCACCAAGCGAACCAGATCTGAAACGAAGTGCCGTGCAAAATTGTCCCCGCGTTCCTTTACCCCGGTGATTGTGTTGTGGTGATCAGCCCAAGGCGCCAAATCCTTAGCCTACGTCTATACCCTTGGCACCAGACATACACCAACAAGAGCTCTCTTCACGTCGGAGATTTTGACCAAATTCAAAATATGGATACTGCTTAGCGAGATAAACACGGCTGGATACGCGTGTTATGCGGAAAGTGCAACCTGGGGGGGATAGAGATGATAATGCTCGCCATAGCACGCGTGTGACAGTGTTTGTATTACAAATGGCGAGTCGTGAGTCTTGCCCAGCCGGATAGTCGGTACACTGGAAGTTATGCACTCACTAAGGCTGAAGTTGATTCGCAGACATACAATGGGACGCTGCACCAATGCTGCACCTCTTTCTTTCTCTTCGATGCTTGGTGGTTCTGCATGCTCTTGCATTCTTGGAGAAAAGCATGGATGTCGTAAGGGACGGGCCAAAGGAAGCAACCAAAGGCCAAGCACCACATGGCAGTTGAGTATCTTGGCCGATGCATTGCTGATGGTGTTGATGATAACGATGGTTGGCGAAAGAAGAGTCTGACACGGTTGGGGCAAGGAGAATGAAGGGGCTACTTTTGCCCCCTCTGAACTGTCGCTTTGCCACGACCCCCTTTGAGCGGTCGTAGGGAATTATGCCGCGACTTCGAAGTTCAAGGTGATATGTCAAGCTGCTGCTTTGTCGTTGAGACCAGGTCATTGGAATATGGCAACATGCGACCAAGCCCCACCACGTGGAAATGCCACCAATCATGTACTTGCTATTCGCATGACTGAAGAATGCAAAATGGTGAAGGATTGCACAAGAGAAGTGGCAAGCCCTACAAGGCCTCACTGGACATGTCGTACAACCAGATGTGCTCAGATTAGGACTAACCCCTACTATCTTTGTCCTTCATGGATTGACTGGAATTCAGCCAGCTGATTATGACTGAACGAGGTCATAGGTGTACGCCGTGGAAGATGCAGGTGCTCCAATGAGGTCCTCGGGCACCCACACGCTCGTTTGTCTCTCCGCAGTTTGTCCCGCTCCAGTTACCGTAGGACAGATCCGAGGCTCGGGCACATGGATGCAACTGCATGCCAATACATCTTCCGCTCTTGCGGTCTTGGGTGTTTGGAACAAGCGTTTGATTGACACGGGCTGCGGGTTTCCGCGAGCCTGTATACCGGTGCCGACCATGGATGGGTGAAGCGTAGGGCGATTGGTGTTCTATTTGAGACGAGGTGCATATAGCAACTCGGTCAATCTGTAGGCGTTGGTGGTTCGTATGAGTTGGACGGCAAGCGGATAGGCAGATTGGAGGGAGAGGGCCAGCTATACTCCAGGACTCCAGCAGGGCCAAACGAAGATGGCTTGCTAGAAAGCAGATCAGTCAGAAAATGGTTGGAGTCTCTCCCAACCTGCGGAAAAGAAGCCCCTGTCCATGTTATTGGTCTTTTTCAAAAACAACCAAAGTAGCGACATGATGCTCAGTACGCGGATAGGGATGGGCCAGGACTCCGGTTGGACGGTGAAGAAGCAAAGGCACGTGACGCTTTGGTGCAAACGGATCTTCTGACTTGGCCTTGTCCGTGGCCGCGATGGACAAGCTCAGGGTGCAGTACCCGGCGACTGGCGATTGCAGCGTACATGGACATGTTGATGTTGGTGGGTTGGAGACGCCGTGGCCGGAGAGGACAGGGGGCGGCCCCGCGTGTTGCTGCAGGTCCGATGGCGGTGAGCTCTGACGTGACGCCTCAAACCACGCAGGGACTCCGGAAAAGCGTAATTCTCGGCCTGACTCACACGCACGCAGTCCAGAGAGAGCGAGCAGCAACCTCTTTTTTTCTTTTCTTGCATTGGCCCTGCTGAGACCACGACCCTCGCTTTATCCGTGGTTGTCGAGCCTCGCACCACAATAATAGCCCACCATGGCGGGCAGCGGCGCGGAGCCTACCAAAGTCACCATTCTCGGCAAAGACTCGATAGTCGTCGACTATGGAATATGGCAGAATTACATCGCCCAGGATCTGCTAACCAGCATTCCGTCGTCGACCTATGTCCTCATCACCGACACCAACATCGGCCCTCTCTACGCGCCCACGTTTGAACGTGCCTTCTCATCCGCCGCCTCGTCGCTCTCGTCGGCCCCTCGCCTTCTCACCTACCAAATATCTCCCGGCGAGACTTCCAAGTCGCGACACACAAAGGCCGCCGTCGAGGACTGGCTGCTGTCGCAGGGATGCGTGCGCGACACCGTGATAATAGCGCTGGGTGGTGGTGTGATTGGGGACATGATAGGCTACGTTGCCGCAACGTACATGCGTGGCATCAAGTTTGTGAACGTGCCCACGACGCTGCTGTCCATGGTAGACTCGAGTATAGGCGGCAAGACGGCCATTGATGTGCCTGCAGGCAAGAACCTGATTGGCGCCTTCTGGCAGCCCGAGAGAATCTACATTGACCTGCAGTTTTTGGAGTCGCTGCCAAAGAGGGAGGTCATCAACGGCATGGCAGAGGTGATCAAGACGGCCGCCATCTGGAACGAGGACGAATTCACGGCGCTCGAGGGCAATGCAAATGACATTCTTGCTGCCATTGAGCAAAAGCCTGTAGATGGGCGCAAGAACTTTGACAGCATAGCCGCCATACTCAAGCGGATAGTGCTGGGCTCCGTACGTGTCAAGGCCGAGGTGGTCTCTGCAGACGAGCGAGAAGGCGGCCTCCGCAATCTGCTCAACTTTGGACACTCCATCGGCCACGCATACGAAGCCATTCTCACTCCACAGATTCTCCATGGAGAGTGCGTTGCGATAGGAATGGTCAAAGAGGCGGAGCTGGCACGATACCTGGGCGTACTGGACCCGTCTGCCGTTGCTCGCCTCACAAAGTGCATTGCAAGCTACGGACTGCCTACGTCGCTAGCCGACAAGACCGTGCGGAAACGGTCAGCCAACAAGCGCTGCCCAGTGGATGAGCTCATCAAGATTATGGCTGTAGACAAGAAAAACGCCGGCAAGACCAAGAAGATTGTCCTCCTCTCAGGCATTGGCCGAACACACGAGAAAAAGGCCAGCTCAGTTGAGGACCGTGACATTAGGATCGCGCTGTCACCAAGCATATCTGTGCACCCGGGTATCCCGGCCGACCTGAATGTGACATGCACACCTCCTGGGTCAAAGAGTATTTCAAACCGCGTGCTCGTGCTTGCTGCGCTCGGAACCGGCTCATGCCGTATCACCAATCTGCTCCACTCGGACGACACCCAGGTCATGCTTGATGCACTTGCAAAGATGCAGGGCGCAAGTTTTGCATGGGAAAATGACGGCAAGGAGTTGGTGGTTACCGGTAACGGCGGCAACCTGAAGGCATCAAGCAACGAACTCTACTTGGGCAATGCTGGCACAGCAGCGCGTTTCTTGACCTCAGTGACAGCGCTCTGCCAGCCCACAGATGGTGTCACATCAACCGTCGTCACTGGAAATGCGCGTATGAAGGAGCGACCCATCGGCCCGCTTGTGAAATCGCTTCGTACCATGGGCGTTGAGATTGATTACCAGGAGAACGAAGGCAGCCTTCCGCTGCGAATCTCAGCCTGCGGAGGCTTTGGCTCTGATTCCTTCACGGGCGAAATTGAGCTGACCGCGAATGTGTCTTCGCAATACGTATCATCTATCTTGTTGAGCGCCCCATACTCCAAGAAGCCAGTAACGCTCCGCCTAGTCGGCGGCAAGGTCATCTCTCAGCCCTACATTGACATGACCATTGCCATGATGGCTTCTTTTGGAGTGCAGGTTGAGCGATCTCAGAGCGACCCCAACACCTACCACATTCCCAACAAACCATACACCAACCCACCCGAATACGAAGTTGAGAGTGATGCTAGCTCGGCCACCTACCCACTCGCCATCGCAGCCATCACCGGTACTACTTGCACAGTTCCTAACATCGGCTCCAGCTCTCTTCAAGGCGACGCTCGATTCGCGGTCGAGGTGCTCAAGCCAATGGGTTGTACAGTTGAGCAATCAGCAACATCAACCACCGTCACCGGCCCACCGCGCGGCCAACTCAAGGCTGTCAAGGAAATCGACATGGAGCCAATGACGGATGCGTTCCTTACAGCGTCTGTTCTAGCTGCAGTAGCATCCTCAAACGGCTCCAGTGTCACCACCCGCATCTACGGTATCGCGAACCAACGTGTAAAGGAATGCAATCGAATTCAGGCCATGGAAGACGAGCTGGCAAAATTCGGCGTGACTTGCAGGCAGTTTGACGACGGCATTGAGGTTGACGGAAAGAGCTATGAGCTTGATGCTCCCAAGGTCGGCATTCACTGCTACGATGATCATCGTGTCGCTATGAGCTTCGCTCTCCTTTCGCTAGTCGCGCCCGCGCCTGTACTCATTCTCGAAAAAGAATGCACAGGAAAGACATGGCCAGGCTACTGGGACAGCCTGAACCAAATCTTCAAAGCCAAGCTTGAGGGCGTGGAGCTGCCACCCAAACCCAGCACGCAAAAGACTGCATCAAAGACTGAGAAAAAGTCCATCTTCATCGTCGGAATGCGAGGCGCTGGCAAGACGACGGCTGGTGCATGGGCGGCACGTGCTCTCGGGTGGTCTCTTGTTGACCTAGACACTGCCCTTGAGGAATATGTCGGTATGACAATTCCTGAACTAATCAAGGAGAAGGGCTGGGAAGGGTTCCGAGACGAAGAGCTAAAGTTACTCGAGAGGACTGTCAAAGAGAAACCTCATGGCTATGTCTTTGCATGTGGTGGAGGGGTAGTTGAGACACCGGCAGCGCGCAAAATTCTTATCGACTACCACACAAACGGCGGCATCGTAATACTTGTCTCACGAGACATTCATAAAGTGATCGAATACCTCCAGATCGATAAGACAAGACCAGCTTATGTGGATGACATCATGGGTGTTTGGTTGCGACGCAAGGACTGGTACATTGAATGCAGCAACTATCGCTTCCATAGCCAGATCGCTGGATCCGGCGACCTTGCTCAGGCACAGGAAGACATGTCTCGTTTCCTGAGCATCATCACAGGCAAGGTTTCAGTATTGAAGGCTTTGAAAAGAAGAAAGCATTCTTTCTTCGTCTGTCTCTCTGCGCCGGAGCTCAGGCCTTGCATCAAAACACTGCCCGATATAGTGGTTGGATCGGATGCGGTTGAGCTAAGGGTTGATTTGCTCGAAGATCCTGACGGTCAAGAGGGCCTCCCAACACCAGACTTTGTCATTGAGCAGCTCTCCATTCTGCGCACAGTCACCTCGATACCGCTCATCTTCACCTTGAGAACAAAGGCGCAAGGCGGTAAATTCCCAGATAAAGCATACGACGAGGCTCGCGCGCTCTATCGAGAGGCATTGCGACTGGGGTGCGAGTTTGTTGACTTGGAGATGACTATGCCCGAAGACATCCTACGAGAGATATCGGAGAATCGAGGTTTCTCTGAGATCCTCGCAAGTCACCACGACCCCAAGGGCGAGCTGGACTGGAGAAACGGCTCCTGGATGGCTTACTATAACCGTGCGCTCCAGTACGGTACTGTCATCAAGCTCGTTGGTGTTGCAAAGTCGATTGAAGACAACTTTGCGCTTGCCGAGTTCAAGAGCTGGTCACACTCAGCACATCCTATACCTCTCATTGCCATCAATATGGGTGAACATGGCAAGCTGAGCAGAATCTTGAATGGCTTCATGACACCTGTCTCGCATCCTCTTCTTCCTTCTGCTACCGCACCTGGTCAGCTTTCGGCTGCGGACATTCGTCGCGGTCTGTCGCTGATGGGCGAGATTCCAAGCAAGAAGTTTTTCATTTTCGGTTCGCCGATTGCCCAAAGTCCCAGCCCGCGTCTTCATAACACGCTCTTCCGCGAAACTGGATTGCCTCACACCTATGGGGGCCACGAGACTACATCGGTAGACTCTGTACGCGACATTATCCACTCACCAGACTTTGGCGGTGCCAGTGTCACTATTCCTCTGAAGCAGGACATAATACCGTTGCTCGATGGCGTTGGTCCAGAGGTGGAGGTAATTGGCGCAGTCAACACCATTGTTCCTGAAGTCTCAGTCGATGAGACCACTGGCAAGGAAGTAACACGCCTGATCGGCCGTAACACAGACTACCTGGGCATGGTGCAAATCCTACGCCATTCCGGAGCTCAGGGAACAGGCTCTGCACTCGTCATCGGCGGCGGTGGCACCAGTCGTGCAGCCATCCACGCCTTGAAGGAGATGGGCTACGGACCAATCTACCTCCTCGGTCGCAACCCAGAGAAGATGGAAGTTCTCAAGAATGCCTTTTCGGCTGAGTACAACGTCCAAGTACTGAACTCGCCAGCTGATGTCGAAGCCCTTGAATCCGCACCCCGAGCTGCCATTGGCACCATTCCTGCCGACCGGCCTATTGACATTGCTATCCGCGAGAGTCTTTGCGCGTTGTTTGAAAAGGGCAAGGCTTCCGTGAGGGACATTGAAGCGGGTGCAGAGAGGATCCTGCTTGAGATGGCATACAAGCCGGCTGTTACCGCGCTTATCCAACTCGCAATGGACAATGGCTGGAAGACGGTCAATGGACTAGAGGTATTGGTTGGCCAGGGTGTAAGTCAGTTTGAATACTGGACTGGCGTTCGGCCTCTGTATGCGGTAGCTAGGGTAAGTTTATGAAGGTTTCAGGACGATCAGTGCTAACGTGAAGCAGGATGCGGTTGTCAACCAGACGGACTAGGGCGATTCAGGATCTGTGGCTATGGCAAACAAACAAGCAGCACCTGATGTCTTGTTACAAGATGTCTTGGTTTCAACACGTGCTAGAAACAATCAAGTTATGAAGTCATGAAATACTGTTTCCATCTGAGACCAAGTTCAACCGACTTTTTCTAATCTTATTTCTCTTCCTCGGCTGCTCTTCTTGCCCTTCCAATTTCACTATTAATCGACATAATTTATTTCTCTTTCTTGCTCACATTCAAAAATGTCGCAGCAGCAGCAATCAAACCCCCACAACCATCCAAACGAACCCGAGCCCTCACACCAAAGCACATCCCTCCTCCGCGCTACATCGTCTCCCACCGCCACTGCAATGCTACGCTCCACCGCATCACCGGCAACGCGTGACTTTTCCACCATGTGTAGTAAGGCTGTGAAAAGAAAAACCGCATGCCATGGACCTGGGTATAGGACGAGGACTAGGAATGGGTATGGGAATGGGAAACGGTGTTGTATTAGCGGTGCGGGGATACTAGTTCACGATGATGACGGTAATGATTGGGATGGCGATGATGAAGGTGAAAATGGAGATGAAGATGAAGATGAGGAGGATGTGGTGCGGAGTGGATGTTATGCCGATGCTGACCCTAACACTGACGCTGGTGCAAAGGTCAATTGGTACCGCGATAATGATATACAGGCTGGAAGCGGCGCGCACAGGAAAATGCAGAGTCGGCGATATAATATCCCGTGTACGTATTCCGATGCAGATGCACATGGAGATGGAGATGGTCATGGGTTGAATTCGGGTAAGGGTGCGGAACGTGAAGAAGAGAGTGGGAGTGCGAGTGAGGAAGATATAGAAGAAGAAGAAGAAGAAGATGATGATGATGATGATGAAGACACAGATAGCGAAGGCGATGAATTCCAAGCTGTGTATCTGGCTATTAGCAGGAGGGCATAATAGTATCCCTCTTTTTCTTTCTTCCATTTTTCTCTAGTTGTTGTTCTCGTTATCTAGGTTAAACGTGATGGCCGTGTGGAAATCAACAATGTACGTTCTAAAATATCTAGGTAGATATATAGATAGGTAGGTAGGTAGGTAGGTAGGTAGAGAAAGAAGGCGTTTATACCCGTCGCAATAAAACAGAACAAAACAAAAAAGTGGGGGAGAGGGGGACTAGGTCAGGGTAATGGTGGTGGTGGTGGTGGTGGTGGTGAAAGAATGACTTTGTATAGCTCTTGACATACAGGAGGAGAACAAAAAAAAACAGATGTGTATATTATACCACGGCGTAATGTAAGTTTTTTTTTTTTACATTGCTATCTTGTAGATTGATCGTTCTCCTCCTTCTCATCGTCGTCTATTCATCCGTCCATCTAAATCTCCGCCATTCAACCTACATATCAACACAATACACCTTCCGCCAACCCCCGCGAAACCATTTCAAAAAAAAACAGATTAAATACCCATTCCAGTCCACAGATCTACTCGCTTGTAGCACTCCAAGACGCCCCAGAAACCCGCTACTTACACTCTCTACTCTCTACTCTCTACTCTCTACCGCTCCGCCTCCCCCTATCTTCAGCAATCTTCGCATCAATCGCACGATCCAAACTGCGAATGATTTCCCGACTGGGTTTTCGAGTCGCATTGCGATCTAGCTGCATCGCCACCACCACCGCTGCAGTCTCCGCTGTATTATTGGTATTACCACCGTAATAGCTAGCAGGAGTATCAGCCGTGGTATTGGTAGTGGTGGCAGTAGTGCTAGTAGTATTGGTGTTTGTTGTATTTGTTATTGTAGTTGTAGTTGTAGTTGTAGTTGTTGTAACTGGAATCCTAGTAGTCACAGGCGTCGTTGTGCAAAGTAGTAGAGAAGTGGAAGTGGGATGCGGGGACATCGCAACGCGTGTCGGTGCCACGGTTGAGATTTTGATTTTCGGGGGCTGGATGCTTGGTTTGGTGTGTGAGAGTGGTAGTGGTAGTGGTAGTGGTGTGGCGGTGTTCGATGCCAGTTGGAGTGATTCTTTGGTGTTCTGGATTTGTGAGGGCGTGCTGTTGGCGTCAGTGATGGTGGTGGTGGTGGTGGTGGGCATAGGAGGTGAGCCTTCTGGTGTAGTTGATTCTGGTACCGCGGTTTCTTTTATTTTGGCTGGTATTCCCGTCGGTCGTTTCTTGTTAGATGGTCTGGCTGCTTTTGCTGTGCTAGTGGTGCGGTTCGCGGTTTTGGCTGCTTTCTTTGGGTCCGCGCTGTGCCATTTGATGGCGAGTGCACTGGCATACTTGAGCTGAGGGGCTCGCGTTTCGGCAGATGGGTTTTGCGGTTCGGATTTGGCTGAATGCAATGGCTTTTTGGGTGTTGCTGTTATTGTTGCGCGAGAAAGCTTCAAGGGCGAGGATTCGGATTTCAGTGTTGGAGCGGGCTTGGAGACGGGTTCGCCGGAGAGGTACTTTGGAGTGCCATGCGGAGTGGCTGTGTTATATCGCTTCAGCATTGCAGGTGTTGCCAGTGGAATCCGGCTTGTGGACTTGGGGGGAGTGCGCTTGCTGAATGGTGTCGTTTGCTTGACTGGCGTTGATGGCGGCTTAGCAAATGCAAGAGCCTTTGCTGGAGATTTGAGTCGTGCCAACTTGGTTCCATCTGCAGCTGCATCCGTAACATCTGGCCTCCTGTTTATTATAAGAAGATTCATCTTCTTCGGAGATGGTGTGATTCTGATCGGACGAGACCGTGGTACAATCGGTGTGCTAGGCACCTTGGGCAATGACACCCCATTTGGTGAGCCCATCGCCATACTCGCCAGAGATGGCATAGCGTATTTGGCTCTGCATATTTTCTCGGGTGTTTCAACTGTACTTGGCCCTTTTACGTCCTCCTGGCCCCTGATGCAGTGGGTGTCCGGTATCGGCGGTAGCTCGCTCAAATCGGGAGATTGGCAAAAGGCTGGGTTGAGATTGCTAAATGAGTCATGCAAAGCCGTCTGAAAAAAACCATTATCCTTAGGCCTCAGAAGTAGGCTATAATTCACCCCAGCTTGCTTATAGAAGCTCGCTGACTGCGCTTTTGAGGTGTGCAAAGTGCCGTCACCACCGTTCTGCCAGTCTACGTAGTTTGCAGAGTCTGCTCTTGTATCACCCTGCATTCTCTTCAAGCTCGGCTTCGGATAGTGCAGGGGTAGGAAACCCATAGTATCCGCTCGTTCCTCTTCATCTGGTGCGAGAAAAGACCCAGCGCTAGACGATGAAAGAGTGGAAGTGGACTGCCTTCCAAGCTGCGTATCTGTAGTGTGCTCCAGGGCTCTCTCGACCGCTTGGGAGATTCCAGATGCGACTTTGATATTATTTGAAATCCTTCGAAAAGACAGCGAATCCGCCAACTGGAGCTTCTCCCAAGCCTTGCGCAAGGGCGTGGGCGTAGGAGACGCAGCACCCCCCTTTACACCCTCCTCGTAAACACACTCTTGATTGGGAGTAGTACTGTTACTCCCTAGCTTCGCCATGAGATGGCCGATATTCTCTGGCTGTGGCATTGCTGCCTTCCGTGTCTTTCTCACATGTATAAAGCCTTCGCTCGGAACGGGGATAAGAGGTGTGTTGAATGTCACTTCTGGATCATCCTGCATCGCAACATCTGCCAGGCGTTCCGAAAGCGTCTGGAATATGTCTTCAGGCTGTGAGGCAAGTCTCCTCACTAGCTTCAAGTCCACGTCGACTGGTGCTGAAGGTGAATCCAGCTCGATTGTTCGCTTTACCGGGCTCGAAGGCCGACTGTCGCTGGGTGTACTTTGCTGATTGTCCTGGGATGGCGTCTGAAACAATGTTCTATTCGGAGTTTGCTTGGGCAGGCTACGCCTCTTGCGACGAATCGGTGTCTTCTTCATTGGGCTACTGGCTTTCAGATCCTGATTCAAGGTGATGACTTTGGTTGGCGTGTCGAGTGGTGCTTTCGTGTGACTCCGGTTCACTGGAGTCCTGCTTTTCAGTATGCTAGGTGCCAGGGTCACTGTGGGCATGGCATCCTTGGTAGGCGTATTCTTCCTCGGTGAAAGTTCCATGGCAAAGTAAAACGCATGGTCCACTACTTCCAACGTAAACGGCGACTCGCTTGCCGTAGCCAGCGTACTACGGCGACTAGACCTATTCACAGCAGATCTCTTCTGCCCTCCGGTAGGCGTGCAAGGTGATATTTCCAACGACATTTTTTGCGCAGAGCCGGTTGGCAAGATCGAAAGGATTCCAAGTTTGATGCAGAGGGACATGTGCGGTTTTCAGGCGACGAGCGTGCACCGTTTGACGTGGCTGAAGGGTCTGTGTTTTTGGTGGTCAGGGCTACCATGGAGGTCATGGCTGTGTACTGGTTGGGATAGACAATGTCTGGGTCGATGAAAAGCGATCGTCATGTGATTCAGTCCGAGCTGGAATTCGGGAGTCCAAAGCGATTTAAAGAGCGAGCTGGAAAAGTCATCGCGGTCAACAGGAATGCCGCAGTGCCTGTTTTGGGCCGACGCGTGTAACAAACAAACATTGCTCCACCTCTATGTACGTCACTGTCAAACGGGAAGTCTATGCACGAGCTATTGATTCAGCCGTGGGAAAAGCAATGGTTTTTTTAAACACAAATACGCCTGGCGCTAGGACAGAAGAAGCATTTCTATATCTATATGCGCTAGTTCTTAGATATATAGGGTTACCACGCAACAGTCACGTCGAGCTCTTGGCATTCTTTCTGCATTCATAGCTTCTCCTTCAGACTTGACTTGAGTCTCCTCTCTACTGCACCCAGGTACTCATTCGTTGTGACCCAGCTACCCCTGTCCTTCTTTCCGCACGCGAGCGCCAGATCCTTGGTCATAATCTTGTCAACATCGACTGTGTCGATGCAGGCCTTCTCCAGCTGCTCGGCGAAGACAACGAGTTCAGGGGTGCCGTCAAGCTCACCACGCTTGGCAAGACCTTGGGTCCAGGCAAAGATGGAGGCAATGGGGTTAGTCGACGTCTCCTTGCCCTTTTGGTGCTCGCGGAAGTGGCGGGTAACGGTTCCGTGCGCGGCCTCGGCCTCGAATGTCTTGCCATCCGGAGTGATAAGGGTAGAAGTCATGAGGCCGAGAGATCCGAAACCTTGAGCGACAATGTCCGACTGTACATCTCCATCATAATCTGGTGCTTGTTAGGGGGGTGCCTGCAACCTTGAGGGATTAATACATACTCTTCATGGCAATGACATAGCCACCCTCGCTCTTGATCATCTGGGCAACCATGTCGTCGATCAGACGGTGCTCGTACCAGATCTTGGCAGCCTCAAAGTCCTTCTTGTACTGGGTGTCGTAGATTTCCTGGAAAACATCCTTGAACTTTCCATCGTACGCCTTGAGAATCGTGTTCTTGGTGCTCATGTAGAGAGGGAGCTTCTTGTCCAGCGCCATCTTGAACGAGGCATGCGCGAAACCGGAAATGGATTCGGTGGTGTTGTACTGCGTCTGCGCGACACCGCCCTCTGCAGGGAAGTCGAAGACCTTGATCACCTCAGGCTTACCGCCCTTTGGTGTGAAGACCATTTCCAATGTACCCTCGCCAGGGATAACCCGGTCCTTGGCGCGGTATTGGTCGCCGAAAGCGTGACGGCCAATGATGATGGGCTGCTTCCAGCCAGGTACGAGACGAGGGATGGTGGGAATGACGATAGGGGCGCGGAAAACAGTTCCTCCTCTGGTGTATGGTCAGCCACGTTTTTACATATCTCTTTGCGCATGTGTGCCCTACAGGTGGTTGCGGATGGTACCGTTGGGCGACAGCCACATCTTCTTGAGCTTGAATTCCTCGACGCGCTGCTCATCGGGGGTGATGGTGGCGCACTTGACACCAACAGAGTACTTCTTGATAGCCTCGGCGGCATCGAGTGTGACTTGGTCGTCGGTCTCGTCGCGGTATGGCAGGCCAAGATCGTAGTACTTGAGGTCAATGTCGAGGTATGGGTAGATGAACTGCAATGTTCAGCGCATGTGTGCATGTCGTTGTTGCTGTGTCGGGCGCACCTTGTCCTTGATGACCTGCCAGATGATTCTGGTCATCTCATCGCCGTCAAGCTCCACGACCGGGTTCTTGACCTTTATTTTCTGGGTTCCTGAAGAAGACGCCATTCTGAACTGCCCAATTTGTGTGTACAGAGCGGATGTAGTGGCTACAGAGGAGCGGGGAGTGCTTCGTCGCGGGCTCAAAAGCTGTGCCGATGTCGCAGCGGTTTGAGAAGCTAAGCAGCGCGTCGCAAAAGTGCAAGTTTGGCGTCTGGGGAGTCGTGCAACAGAAGCTGCCGAGCGGATAACAGCGGGCGCTGGAATTGGCGACCTCATGGCGAATATATGGTAGGAGATAACCTCGGAAAAGCAGAGTCCAGGAGCGTGCAAAGGTCGCAAGTTTCCGGCCGCGGTCTCGATTGCGACGGCGAAGATATTCGGCTGTTAGGATGACTACTTAGTCGATGGAGTCGCCTACTTAGCGGGGTAACGGGAGCCGAGGACAAGCAGCCCTTCTTGAACGCGTCGCAGAGGCTGAGGCCTGGCCATGGCCCCGCGCTGTAACAAACAGGTGGCAGTGGTTTAATGCAACGGCTAATACCCCACCGTGGCATTGTATGTTCCATCCTTGGATGTGATTGCGTAGACGGGCAGTAGGCCTGCTGCCACGGCCTGTCATGCGCATGTGCTGCGTCGTCGCGCGGCGCGGGGGAACCCGACTCTCATGACGTCTAGCCGAGCGGGTGTCATGTGAATTAGGAGGTGCCGCGAAAACAGATAGGGCGTCGGGAGTTGGGCGGAAACCAAGTGTTTTCGAGATGCATTGGGAGAGGCTTGGACTCGAGCCATGCGGGGGCTAGCTGTTCTATATGTGTATGCAGTATGTCTGCCCTGTCGTGCCCCGGATCTCCTCAGGCGAGTCCATGCAGGCACACGGCATTCATGCACACAACGCGGAGGGCTGAAGTCAATTGGCCGCCAGATGTTTTGTTTTTTCCGAGAAGATGGCGGCGGCGTTTGTCGGCCTGGAAAGAGATAAGAGTGAGGCTGCATGTATGCAGGGAAGAGGAGGGGAGGGGAGGGGCAGGGGCAGGGGCAGTGTCAGCGACGGCAATGCCCAAGTCAGGGAGATGACTGATGGGCAAGGAATGAATGGGAAGAAGCTCCTCATGCAAAGGGGACGCAATCAGCCAAGACTGGACATTGAATACACCGACAAGAACGTCACGTGCCCACGACGGCATCCATCAGGCACACACACACACTCATGCAAACTACGCTCGGCACGTGACGAAATCATTATTAGTTACTACAACAGTCCTACTATTCATTAAACTGCGCGCTGCACAAGGGTATCTTAGACATTAGTATCACAGTCATCGCATCGGAAAGCGAATAAAAAGAAAATAAAGGAAAACAGCCACTCATGCAACCAATATCGTCTTGCCGCTGGTTCCCCCTTCCGGTTTATAGCCAGCCGCGCATGTCTGAGTGGACACCCTGCTTACAGTCCCCCCGTCCACTCGAGAGCTATGGAAGCTTGACCCTGCACTGACGGGCCTCCGGACCAGACTTGCCGTACTATGCGCGCTACTTCGGTTGGAAAAAACGGTCAGATGCGCGAGAGAAGGCGGTGTGATGGGCCGGGCGCTGAGGTAGAGGCCGCTTGTTTCGTCATGGGTAACCAGTGTCGACGGAGCAGAGACCGGCCGGCCGCGTTGTTGAGTGTGGCCCGACGAAACCGAGTGCGCATTGCATTTACCGTTTGCTGCGTCTCGTTCAATGTCAATCGAAAATACGGCGTCGTTGGTGTGGCGTAGCGCTACGGGCGCAAAGTCGTCGAGTTCAATGGGTGAGTCGGCTAGGTCCATCATAGCGTCTTCGTATTGTTTGCTGGTCTTGGGCAACTGGAAGGAATCTTTTGCAACGTTGGAAGTTACTAATGTCATGCTCCGGGTGGCTCTGCTTGCATTGCTGTGGGTTTGCGAGTGCGTGTCTCCCGTCTGGTCGTGGAGCAGCTGTGTGATCTTGCGGCCCCCACCAGTGCGAGTTGAATGGTACGTCCATGGTGGCGGGTTGCTGTCGTCAAACTGTCCAAGCTCGAATATTTCTCGTAAAATCGTCCATGTAAATGGCAGGTTGGCAACCAGAATGGCCGTCGACGACTCGCGGACATACCAGTAGATCCACGTCCCCTTGTACGGGTCGCTGAAGGAATAGTAGCTGTTTGAAATGCTGGTGGCCACGACGAAGAGACCCAGGGAGAAGATGGCGCACAGAACAACCTTCCTCTTCATTGGGAGCAGTGATCGCACGAGCATCTGGATGCCAATGCAAAGCATAGCCAGGTCCGAGGAGATGGTGAAGACGGCTTTGGTAATGCGGTGGTGGACCAGTGTAATACACTGGGGCGAAGTGGTCGGGACCGCGTAGTACTGCGAGAATGGCCGGCACCAAGTGGTAAAGTAGAGAATCTCAATGACAACATAGCCAATTGCGGAATACACGGCCACAACCTTGATTGCAATATTCTCGTGGTGCAGTGCCGTGCGCGTTATGCGATGGTACATGATCAACACACATGCCTTACACGACCAGAGAACGGCAATGTGCATCTGTTCAATCACAACGACGAGCTTGCTCCCATAGACGCGCTTGGCGATGTCGGCCGGAGAAAGGGCGGCAAAGTCAAACCCTGGTGCCTCGAGGTTAGATTGGACTTTGAGCCATCGGTTGGCCAGCACAATCATGGTCGTGTAGGCGGCTGTGACCAACACGGCCATGGTCCAGTCATCGATTTGAAGGCCCTTGACGGATCGAAATAACAGTCTCCGGGAGATGCTGCGTGACACGTGTGGTTAGCTATGCGGTCCCGAGACTGTGGTGCGTAATGTAAATCACATTTTAATACGGATCGACCACGCTAGCCGTGAGGAAATGGGATGCTGGCCAAGCCGAGGATACACGCTCAACAATAGGGCGAAGGCACTCGGCTTTTGTGTCCTCGGCATACGTTTTTTTTTGGTTGTCGACATTGGGGAGGGATGGGTCAGGAGTCGACTTACAGCCTGAGGGCAATCATAGACATGGCGCATGTATACCAGATCCATGACTCGGTGTTGAATGACATGGGCATGGCTCTCGTCGCACAGCGATGCAGCCGTGGCAGACCAGTGTGTCGTCGCTATCCGCCGGGGGTTTTGAAGTCTGAGTTTCGATGTTGTTGTGGTGAGGTCATAGTGGGCTGCCGGTCGACCAGGGCATCGCAGACGAAGAGGAAACGGCACGACGGGCAGTGGAGGGAGGCGGCAGCAAAGGAACAGCAAGGACAAGGACAAAGGAGCGCGGGCGACGGAGGGGATGAAGAGAAGGAAAGCTGACGAGGGCGAGGTTGAAAAGCGCGGTGAGGGGCTAGGCCAGAGCTGCATGGTAATGGGCCATGTTGTGGTGGTAGGGGATACCTGACAGCCACTCCTGTCAGACAGCAAGGGCTTATCTTGACCAGCCTCGTAAACTGCTAGCACCGTCGCAGTAATGGTCCTACACCTAGTCAGGCACTTTCGGGAATCGTGGGCGGAACTGCGGTGGATTGGCACGTCGGGCGCTGGGCCAGGCCAATCACGCGCCGTGCGTGTGCAATGTCGCACATTTGCTTTTATGCGCATCGTGGCGACGCGACCCCGTCCCGCCCGTCCACGTCTCTCTCTTCTTTCGTCGCCGCCGACGCCGAGCAACCCACACATGCACACGCTGTTTTGAAACCCGCCAGGTCGGTCTGCATCTGCATGCCATCAGCTGGCCACTCGCTCCAGCGCCCGCCGAGAGATGGCCACTCACTCCCCGCGCGTCATGGTGCTGCAACCACGCATGTCGTGGCCATCACACGTGTCGCGAGCCAGCCAGTCACCCACTCACTCCCTCGCTCACTCCCTCCGTCACCAAGCAACCACCGACTACTGTACACCGTAAGCTGAGGCTGAGTCGCGCCGCGCCATGACGGCCACTGCCACTCGACTCCACTCGTCGCCCGCCAGTGTCAGCGCGGGGCTGCCGCACAACCACCAACTACGGAAAAATCAAGTCCCTCCCAGTATTGATTCGAAGCCCTAGATGTACAGACAGGGCCCCCGCGGCCACAAATATCCATCGGATCATGGCGGAACTTGCCTTCCATCGCCTCGAGTTCCGCCCGACGTCGACCCTGTTATGCCGCCAGTGCCAGAGCGCCAAACACCCTCTAGCACCCGGCTTCGGCCCTTCTCTAATATACACTCATGGTACCTCCTCGCCCCAAGCATAACGTGCGTCGGTGTTAGAGATGCCTTTCTTCCTGAAACCGCGCCCTCAACAACACCCCGGCTGTTTCTTTGGTGCCCACGCGCCCCTTTCTGCGCATACCGAGTCCCCGCCTATCCGTCCAACTGCCGCTCTACGAACATGCCACCACGGTATCCACTTGGCACACGCAAGCCACGCCCGGTGGCTGTTCTGCTTTTTCTTATTTCCGCGGCCACCTAGACTCATGACACGGTCCTCCCACCCCAAAAAAAGAAGCGCACAAACCCGTAAAGCAAAAAATAAAATAAAAAACAGTACAAAGGTCGTGCGGACCTTCGTTCGTCCGTCTCCATGTCTGATCGCAGGAGTTTAAAAAAAAAACAAAAAGGTACGTAACCAACTAGCTAGCGGACACCATGTTTTCGGACTACTTACGGGGTATTTTCCACTAAGACAACCCACGCGGCGCCACCACCTCCACCACCTCCACCTCCAAACACCTGTCATGGCAATCAGGTACACGTTCGAAACAACGCCACAAAACAATTGGCCCTGTACATACGTATGACGTGAAATCCTGTTTCTAACCCCCCCGGGGGGGCAAGTTAGTCTGAAAGTTTAAACTACCATGTAAGCAAGACCTGCTACACGTCCATTGTTTTGCGGCAGATGCTTTCTCTCTTTCCCCTCATCGTACCATGTCAAGAAAAAAAAAGAGAAAAACATGAATAAATAAATAAATAAATCAAGGACCCCTTGATCGTCAAGTACAACCGGCCATCTCAAAGGGCTATATGTGAACAATTCCCTGGCGATACAGCTCCTTCTCGTTCTTTAAACCACTTTCTGGTCTAAAAACATGTGTTTTTTTTTGTGGCGGTGATGGTGGTGGTGATGGTGATGTTTTTTTTTTAGGGTTTGCTATGGGTATGTTGAACAAGCATAAAGCCCCCAGCAGTAATAACAGCGCCTCCGACGAACTCCGACGACAAGGATGGAAACAAAAAAAAACCACCACCACCACCACCACCAAACCGCATAGCCCCAGGTACCCTGATACTCGGGAATATCACACCAACAAACAAAGAAAAAAGTCAAAAGGCTGGGAATTTTCAAAAACTTGTGGTATATAACCCTGCCTCAATGTTTGATGAACACACATATACATACAGACACACACACGGCCATACAACCTCCAAACTACCCCCACGGGTTTGATCTGCGTATCACACGCTTGCACAAACAGGTCCCTACAAAGTCTTTTTGCACCCACGCGTTCTTTTGGCGTTCGCAGCAGCAGCAGCAATAAAACACGGTTTGTAATGTATGTGTGTATGTGCCCAGGCCCTACTACAATTATATACATTAGTTCGAAACGTTGCGCGCACGCTTCAAACACTTTTCCACTGCATCGTCGTGGTCGTGGTCGTGGTCGTGTCCTCCAAGCTGGGCGTGCAGCCAGCTCCGCGCCTTGTCAACCACTAGCTCCCAGCTGCCCTTGGATGCCGCAAGGCGGTCTTGGAAAACCGCTATGACCAGCGCGGTCGCAAACACCGTCTCATCTAGTTTAGCTGCGTCGTTGTCCTCGGAGCCCGAGCCCGAGTTGCTGCTGTTGCATGGGGGGTTGGGGTTGGGGTTGTTGGGGTTGTTGTCTATCTCTGCTTGCACGCGGACCGACGACACGCCAAGCACACGCAGGAGGTCGGGTGTGAGGGACCATGAGCCGGAGAAGGACTGCAGCGCAATCAGGTGGTGGAGCAGTGTTTCGCCGGATAGAGGGCCGCTGGCTGTGCTGGTGCTGCTGCTGCTGTTATTATTATTAGTATTATTATTGTTGTTGTTGTTGTTGTTGTTGCTGGACGGCGTGGCCGAGCCGAACAAGGCACTATTTTGTGCCCCTGTTGGTCCCGGTGCAAAGTCCAATTCTATCTCTACGATCTTGGCTCTTCCCGCCGGTGGTGCTGCCGGATGATCCTGGATTGCCTGCGCGTCATTATACTCTTGTCGTGCGAGTAGATTGCGTTTCTTGTTCTGCTGCTCCAGCCGCATGAGCCCCGTTTGATATCTCTCGAGCGGGCTCTTGTCCTGCGTGGAAGGCGCTGCGGCGCCAAAGACAGGATGGCTGGGCTGGTTGGCAGCGAAAAGGGATGTTCCGTTGTGACTTTGCTGCTGGGCCGGCGCCCCGAAAAGACCTCCACTGTTCGTTGGGCCGAGACTGGGAAATACCCAATCTTGGGTTGAGGGTGCAGCCCCAGAAGAAGCACTGCTTTGTGCAGCAACAGCTCCGAAAAGACTGCTGCCGCTTGAATTCGTGTTGCCAAAGGAGACACTGCTGTTTGCATTCGAGGCGCCGAAAAGACTACCACCACTGTTACTGGGAGTAGAACTTCCAAAGAGACCGCCGCCGGTGGAGTTGGAAGCCCCAAAAGAAGATGTAGCTGTACTTCGAGGAGGAGGAGGAGCGGCGAAAAGGTTGTTGCCGCCGGTATTCGCTGTCCCGAAAAGATTGCCGCTTTTTGTGTTGGAAGCTCCGAAAAGGCTACCACCACTACTTTGATTCGACTGTCCAAACGCAACACCGCCTCCAGAACTCGGTCTGGAACTGCCAAACAGCATAGTACCAGAAGAGCCAATGGCCGAAAACGGTTTAGCCTGGTTTGCTGGAGTGGGAGGAGGAGCAGCCCCATAGCCCGGATGAGAAGCGATACCAGAATTATGGTTGAAGCCAGGAGGATTCGGAGCAATCATCGGTTGCTGGATCGGGACTATCTCTTCCATCTCGTCTTCCAGGCACTCCCAGTTCTGAGCGTTCTTCTGTTCTGCCCCGGCTTCTTTCGGGCTGGTCTCCACAGCCACAAACGAGCTCCATTTGCCTCCGACCTGGAACTGCACGCCGAGGCGGACTGCTTCGCGCTCGACCATGTCTTGGTAGCGGCCTTCAAATTTGGTCTTTATCAGTGTTTCTGATTCGTCTTTTGCTTCTGCCAGCCAGCCGCGGCCTTGTTCTAGCTCCGAAATGGCTTTTTTCGCCGCGAGCTGGTGGATCGTTTCGCCGGGTTTGTCGAGCATCTGGATGGGTATCTCGAGCTCGAGTGGCCCATGGGCGCTGGTGCCCCGGAGAATGACTGATGTGGGTGTTCCTTGGGGGGCACCTGGACCGAGAAGAAGGTATACTGTGGTGCGGTGGAAAGCGAAGAGCGAAGGTATGTTTTGTGGTGCTTGGATCATGTTTGGAACGGCCAGTTTCGGGAGATGTGCATATCGGTTCTCGCCAGTCTCGTCATGGGCTGGTTCCGCCTCTTCATCTGGATCCGCGAGTGGGTCGAATAGGGAGATGGGTTTTTTCTGGTCGCTGTTAGTCAAAGACCTATCTAGCACAATCGATTTTGAACTTACAGTCTGCTCCTTCTCATCATCCTCGTTGCTGAAATCCAGCTTGACTTTCAGGCTGTCACAAGCCCTTTCGATAATTTCGAAATCATCCTCGGCCTCAACGTCAAGATGTGCCGAGATTTCGTCGTTGTTACACTTGACTTCGAGCGTGTAGTCGTTGACATGTGGGGACAACGCTCCCTTTAGCATTCGGACTACTTTGGTATTCATCACTTCGCCTTCACCGACTGCCTGCGAAAAGCCGTTTCCTGCCCTGGCTATGCCTTCAATTGCAGCATGAGAGACGCCGTTCCCAATGCCCAGTGTGAATACTCGGATTGGAGCTTTGGTCTCGATGATGGTCTTGTTGAGGTAGGAGAATAGGTTTTGTTGTCTCCAATCCTCACCATCCGTGAGCAACATGATGTCAAGGGGCATATCCTTGTATCGCTGCTCAATTGTAGCCTTTAGTGGCTCCAACATCTCAGTACCGCCGTAATTCGCTGCGAAACTGTCTGCGTGATACATTGCCTCGTCTAGTGTTTGCTGGCTGTAGGCGACGCTTTGGGGCCAAAGGAAGGAGTGCTGCCAGCCAAATGAACATATGTTGAACTTGACGCCAATGGGAAGCGACTTGAGGAAAACCTTGAGTGCTTGTTTGGCAAGCTCAATCCTGGTGCCACCCATGCTTCCACTGCGATCGCATACGAACACGATTTCAGGTTTCTCAGGCGGCAGTGCGAATTTTGGCACAAGCGTTGCCATTAGAGCTCTGTGGTTTGCAATCCTTGGGTGATTCTCCAGAATGGCTTTTGGTACACCTGTGTTTTTGGCAATGACCTGCAAGACAAAATCTGTCTCCAACCCGGCGGTGCCAAGGGTAAGGGTCGCTGATGCCTTTGTCATTGTAGGATCGGCATTGGGTGCAATGGAATTAGTGCCCATTGTCACCGCAATCGGATGCGTCGGAGATTGTATCTTCTGGATAAAAGATCCATCTGCCATCTCGGCGTCAACAGTGATGGAGATACTGTGGCCCATTGCATCCGTAGCTGAGCTTCTCTGCAGATTGCCAGGGTAGTCACCGTATCTCGGGCATATGATGTTAGGAATTGTGAACCTGATGCCGTCAATCTCCATGTCGTGCTTCAGCTCGCCCAGGTATGTTATGGTAATGACAACCTTTGCACCAGGCGGAATGTTCCCAACAGTGGTGGAGAAGACATCTGAAGCCTCTGGCAGCTGCTCAAGTAAGCCGGCCGTTTCGCCTCTTGCGACTGCTTCATTGAAGTCAGTCCTTGCTTTCTCCCTCTCTTTCACTAGACCAACTATTTTTCGATCACCAACATGGCACGTAAAGCCTACTACGCTGACGCCATCATAGAGCGGGAACGTATAGCGGCACTCTCTAATGCCTTTTTCATGTGAAGGGTTGACAAAGGTCTGCGTGAGCACTGTTTGGGAGGTGGTGGCGAGAATCGTAGCTTTTGCTTCAAGCTTGACCTGCGGAAGGAAGTGCTTGTGTACATGGCAGCCAATAAGTGGTATAGCGTAGTACAACCCACACACGTGCTCTGGATTGCGGTGGGGAGGATATTGATACATTCTGATATTCTGACGGGCGCCTCAGGGGTGAAAGAGGTCGATGTTTGCTGGAATTTATGAGCAGTATTTTGGCGCGTCACAAATTCTACACCAGCGCAGCAAGTTTGCGCACGGGGAAACGAAGTTTTCACTCTGCGTTGTCCGGGCAGAACAGGAAACGGTGGATAAGGTGATTGAGGTGGTTTTGGTGTTGGTGTGTGAGGTGCAGATGCGGATGAAGTGATTCCTGCAGCTTGAAATATACTTATGCCGGCTGTGATGCCTGAAGGCTGCCTGGGCGAGGTGGTTGCCTAATGCCGCCATACAGCTTAGTGCAACCGCCAGCCGTATGAGAATCGGACTCCGATACGACAATTCAATGAATATACGGGCAGCCAAGCCGAAACAAGCGATAGATAAAACGCGGCTGTGCTGCTAGATGCATTTTGAGGAGGCGAATGGGGCCAGCTGCGCAGGGGTGCAGGTGCGCTGGTAGCTGTTGGCCAAGCCAAGACACGCATGACAGGTGACTCTCGTAAGTGTATGTGCTGGAATACTCTGGCCAGCAGCACTCGGTATCTTTTCGGGCTTGGATGGCGGGCACCAAGTAGGGAGGAGAAACGGGATGAGGTGAGGTGAGATGGGATGGGGTGAGATGCGGCTGCAGCTGCACGGCATCAAGGTGAACGTGGGGTTGTCGATCAGCCATGCCTTGCTCGGCTAGAAGCCCTGGACCCTGAACGTCAGCCTGCATGCCAAAAATTATCCAGTCACCCGCCATGCCACCAAACAATGCGTGGGCTGCTCACCCACGCCTTTCCAGAGTTCCACCGTTCGCTACATCGCCTGTTCTGCCTACAGCGCGGCTTCCACAAGCTTTCCAGAGTACCCCGCCGCAAGCAGCTGCGTCAATCGTTGGGGAGAAAAGAGAAGATGGCGGGGTATGAGGATTGGTCTCAACAGCAACTGATTGCAAGGATACAAGAGTTGGAAAAGCAGATAGGAGCACCTGCTTCAGACACGCCTCATTCCAGCGCCACCCCGGCACCCGCTGTACCTGTGGCCGAGCAGACATCCTCGTCCACTGGTTTTCCAGAGCCATTGGAAATCCGCAAGGCCGCCAAGCCGCCACCAAAAGCTTTTGATGCTTCCAGGTACAGCACGCGGTTGATAGCGCTAAAGTTTGCATACCTTGGCCAAAAGTACAATGGCTTCGAGCACCACAAGAACAACTCAACACCATTGCCAACAATAGAGGAAGAGCTGTGGAAGGCATTGGTAAAGACACGATTGATAACCCCGGTGCCCACACGAGGAGAGGGCAGGGCATATGAGAGGATTGATAAAAAGACATATGCAGCGTGGGACAGGGAGGGAGCAGATGTGAATTGGGATGGCTGCGAATACTCAAAATGCGGAAGAACAGACAGAGGCGTCAGTGCTTTCGGACAAGTCATCGGCATTAGGGTGAGAAGCAATAGACCTTTGCCAAAGACTGCTGAGCCACCGCAAGAAACTTCGGTAACAACCGAAGAAGACGATGACTACCTAATATCTTCTTCTAAACTAGACCCGGAACCTACATCTAGGCCTTTCAACGACCTCACAGACGAACTCGCTTATATCCAACTGTTAAACCGCGTCCTCCCACCCGACATCCGTGTCTACGCATGGTGCCCGAACCCACCACCAGGCTTCAACGCCCGCTTCTCCTGCAAAGAGCGGCGATACAAGTACTTCTTTACCAATCCCAGCTTTGCCCCCGTACCCGGATCTTCAGGTCTCTACAGCACCAGCAGTCCCACAACAGAAGAAAACAAAGCCAAAATGCGCGAAGGCTGGCTCGACATTGACGCCATGAGACAAGGCTGCAAATCTCTCATCAGCCTGCATGACTTCCGCAACTTCTGCAAAATCGACGCTAGCAAGCAAATCTCAAACTTCCAGCGGCGCATCTACCACGCCGACATTGAAGAAGTGTCTTCACTGTCCGTGCCAGGATTCCTTTCACACCCTGCTCTGCAAGTCTCAGGCGCAGAACAGCCTAAACTCTACTCTTTTACTCTCCACGGCTCAGCCTTCCTATGGCACCAAGTCCGCTCCCTCGTCGCCATCCTCTTCCTCATCGGCCAAGGTCTCGAGTCTCCCTCGCTCGTCCCCCACCTCCTCGACACGTCGGCGAACCCCACCCGCCCAAAATACGAAATGGCAACCGACGCGCCCCTCGTCCTCTGGGACTGCATCTTCCCGCACCCAGAAGAAGTGCAGACCTCCGAGGAGCGTGAGCACGGCTACCAAGATAGCCTTAACTGGATCTACGTCGGCGACGAAGGCGGCTCGGAGCCAAAAGCAAAAGGCCCCGCGAAAAAAGGCGGTCCGGCTACCATTGGCAACGGGAAATGGGGTCGAGGCGGCGTCATAGACGATGTGTGGGAGGTATGGCACGCCAAGAAGATCGAAGAGACGCTTTCGGGGCTTCTAATGGATAAAGTTGCCGCCTTGGGCTCCGACACGCTGGACGCAGAGGTGCCCGTCGCAGAGCAGACAGTCAGCATGGCAAAGGGCGGGCCGCGGATATTCGATGGCGGCGATTTTGGCAGGGCGAAAGGCGTTTACACGCCGGTGTTGAACAGGGAGAGGCAGGAGCCTGTTGAGGTGGTGAATGAGAAATATAGAATCCGGAAGGGCATTGATGCTGACAGGTTCAAAGGGAGAGAGGAGGATGCCGATGAGTAGGTCGCTGTGGCATGTGTGTATGTATGTGTATAGTACATGTGGCGGATTGGAATATACCCAGTTTTGATACCGGAATCTCCTCAGACTTGCATTCTTTTCTTTTTTCTTCGCCAATCTAGCATTTTAGCTTTACCAAAAAAAAATCATTTGATCGGTCCACGGGGTATCATAATGCCATGTTATTCTCCCTTTTTCAAACCCCTCGAGTTTCAATTCCACTTTCCAATTCCACTTTCAATTCCCTTGTGCACATCCCACCCCGTCCAACCAACCAACCAACAACACAACCCCTCTAATCCCCCGTATTCAGCTCCAAATCAATCTGCACGCCATTACTAATCGCATAATCGGCACAGGTCAAATTATCATGAAACGGCCTCTCGCCCTGCCTCTTGAGCATGATCTCGTGGACAGGCCGCCCAATCTTGGCTGCGACCATGGCTTTGAGCAGCTTGATGGGGTCGCTGGGGAGACATGGGACCTGTGTTTTAGTGCCTAGGCGGTCGTTGATGGTGACGAGGATCATGGGTTCTGACGACGTTGCTGGTGCTGCTGCTGCGGGAGCAGACGCTGGTTTCCTGGATGAAGAGGATGCTGGGTCTTTGCTAGAAGGGTCGTCGCTCCGCGATTTCCGGTCGCGTGGAGAGCGCGTTCGGCGCCGGCGGTGGCGGTCGTCGTCGCGGCGGCGGTCTGAGTCTCGTGGTCGCCGGTCTCGATCATAGTCCGAGTCGCGCCTTCGGTCGCTGTCTGCGTCTCTTGGTCGCCTCTCTCGATCACCCCGGTCTCGATCTCGGTCTCGGTCGTCGCGCCGTCGGTCGGAGTCGCGCCGCTCGCGATCGCCTTTGTACTTGAGGCCGCTGAAGTTCTTGGGTTTGCGCGGAACAGGCGACCGGCGTGGAGAGCGCGATCGGTCGCGATCGCGATCTGAGGGTCGCGAGGAGTCCATGGTCCTCGCTTTAGTCTTCTTCTACAGTCGAATGTATGTATGCGTGCGGGTGATTGAGAGGGAAAAGCGTGATGATAATAGAGGAGGCAGCAGCTGTGGTGCTCCAAAAACGCGAAGCTAGGGATCTGTAAACGGGGAAATAACTCTTATCGATAAGTAAGCCGCCCGAATCTAGCGCGTCATCCCGCCCGTCCATCCTTCGACCGTCTCGATTTCTCCCCCCACATTCCGCTTAGCATTCGCATGCTCGCTGCCCTTTCCTAACGATGCTGTTCATGTAGCAGATAATCGCAATGTCAAGTCTAATATCTCGCCTTACCTCTCCGCCTGCACAGACGCTCCATGTGCTGCAACCCACGTCGTCCACAATCAAGTATACAGTCTCGACGCGCCCTGTGCCAAAGACGGTGCCGGCGCGCATAGGATACTATGTCGGGATACTCATTCGAGCAGTATTGGGGGTGACAAGCGCGCTGTTGCTATGGCTGAAATGGCGAATCTCAAACGAGTTGTCAACGCTTTTCTTGCAGGATGCACTGGGTTGGGAAGGAGAAGGACAATTGGTAAAGATGGTAGAGGCTTTCAAATGGCGATATCTTATCCCAAGTACGCTCTTCGTTATATTCTTGGTCTTGCGGAGAAACTACACTGGTACGTCTACATTCCTTTCTTCCTTGAATTCAACACCTTTCTTCGCGACAGATTGCTCACAGTGTCTCTAGAAGAGTCCCTAACCATGCTTCGTGGCCTCGGTCTCCAGACCTCAACTTCTTCTTCTACCTATCTCCAGACACCCACGACGCGCTTCATACCCACAACCTGCATCCAGGACATTTTCATACACGAGGCGTTCAAGGGCTTCGAAGTGCGCTTCTATCTTGTGATTGTGGTAGAAGGTGAGGATGAAGTGGTGGTGGTGTTTCCGAATTTGTTACCCAGGAGAGAAGTACTGGAAGTCGTTTGGAGAGGGGTAAGAAGGGGTCTGTGGGAGCAAGGAGGCCCAAAGCCAAAGGCTGAGGTGAAGGAAAACAACGAAAAAGTAGAAACTTGATGCGAATACGAACATCGGCGTGATGTGTGCAGTATAGCAATCACCACACCTGCGTCTTGTGCCTTGCCAGGAACGTGACGGAGTCTGAGATGGATCATGAGCAAATGTTCTCATAGCAGCGTCTATCATCGTACAGCCATACCTTTAGTCTTGCCAAACACTCTTGTCCAAAATGGCTCTATCATTGCCAGCGCCGTGCCAGAAGAATGCACACATGTGCCGTGTGCGCATGCTTCTCGGCACTCAGAACCGCTTTATCCAAAGCTCCAGCGTAGCGAGATCATCCTCTTGTAGAGCAAATCAACGGCCCTTCTAGTACCGATACCTCGTACTGTAATCCTTTGGGCTAACCACCAGACCCCTACCCTTCTTCGCACCCCGATATACCGTCTCAATAATATCAATAAACTCCTGCTTGTCCTCAAGCACCCAGTTCAGCTTGTTGTTGTTACCGGTGCCAAAATCGCACATCATGTGCTTGTTGCGGAAGAAGAACATGACGGTGCACGGGTCGTACAGTTCGTACATGGCTTTGAAGTCGGGCACCTCGTCCAGGTCGCACAGGTAGATGGCGCAAAAGTTTTTGACGCGGTCCGCAATCTTGTAGAGTACCTCGTCTTGCGACATGCAGTCTGGGTCAGAGTCGCGGCCGAATCGGATCAAGACGAGACGATCTTCTTCGGAGAGGATCGCCTGGTCGACGTGCCAGCCGGTGCGCAGGTGTGGGAGGACGACGGAACCCATGCTGTAAGAATATTCGTGCGTTCAGTTGGTGGTTTCGGTTCGGGTTAAGCAAATGTCGGTGTTGGTGCGAGGTTTGGAGGTGGGAAGTTGCAAGTTGCAAGTTGCGAGTTGCAAGCCTAATCACGGGCAAACTAAGGAACAGGTATCCGTGCGTTGCGCCTGGGCGCTTGCTTGGTCCAAATCAAGTCGCAGAGAAATGCAATGGGGAGCCGAATTGCGAGAGGATCAAGTGTGGGTTGGCTTCGTGTTATAGAAAGCTAGGCAAGGCAGCTACGGCTGGTGATCTAGAATGTTCCTGAACAGACCCCGCACTTTATCCATCAGCCCTACCGTGAAAGCAGTCTTGTCTCTGCAATCGGGCTCCAACACGGATGTGTATGCTACCATTATCGCATTGTCATGAAACTAAAGAGGCTGCCATGAACGACATTTTGTTGTGGCTGCGCGCCGGTCCCAATCGCCTCAACTCCTTCCCGAATGTTTCTCATTCGCCAGCCCTTAGATGGAGCTGGGATACATCATGACCCTAACGCTGGCACCGAAGGACTTTGGTGGGAGGTTGTGCTGGAAAGAAGCGCGAACAATGCCGTTGTTTCCTGTCCTCCAAATCAGTCTCTACTCTGCTTGCCGCGGCCGGAAGAATATATACGCACCGTGAGTTCGGCGGATCTTGCCCCAGATCACGCGAACGGGGTTCGACTTGCTGCTGCCGACGCGGTAGACGTAGGCGACACGCTTTCCGAGGTACCACTGCGCATCCTTTGTGTTCTCGACGCCCTCGAGCTGGAGCAGGCTGACATTGGGGTTCGAGTTGCGCTTGCTACGCTGGTAGCTGATGTGGCGGCCCTTGACGTAGACTGGACTACAGTCAGTGTGTGTGTATGAAATTTCGTCGCGCCGTCTACTTACGGCGGTGGCTCTTTTCCGAAGACATCTCGAAGGCTGTGGGGGTCGTGTTAGTTGGGTGACGCTGGGTGACGCTGGGTGGGAAATTGAAGCTGGGGTTTTCGATGTGCGAGTTTCGGTAAATTGCTTAGCTAATGTCTTGGCACAACAGTCTGTGGCGCAGGCCCGACATGCAGGCTCAGTTCGCTTGCGGCATGGCACGTGCATCACATGGTCGGCACGCATCCGTACTGCCGTAGGTTTATTCTATCACTATACCTGTTGTGGATGTGCCGGTCTTGATCATGTGCTAGCTGTGATCATAGATGCCTTTGTATATTTCTTGCCAGGATGTGACACGACATGCATATACATGATATCTCGCTAATCCAATTCATGTGATAGATTTTTACCTCAGGACGCACAGTTCGGCAATATACATCTATCTTGCTGCCCAGCAGTTACATGCATGTGTACATGTCAATGTCATCTTCTAAACTTAACCCTCGGCATGAAAAATGCGCTGCGAATTACATGGGCATGTATTAATTCTAACATACCTTTGTTGTGGTATGAGTACTTTACTTATGCAGGATTGTGTTAAATGAACCAGACATGCTTTTCCGTCTATGACAAATAGAACATCACACTCATGCGCTCAATGATTCTCATGAATGATCAATCACCATGTCCACCCCTTTCACCGTTATTCTTGACCGGTCTTTTCCAAGAGGGGCCCCAGTCTGTCTTTCCAAGTGTTTAGTGTTGCAGCAATCGGCTCTCTTCATACATTCTCCATCGACATCAGATACGGCTTCTAATTCTTTCTTTTCGAATCAAAAGTGAGAAAGTGTTCTCAGCGCAGTGAATAGGCAGTTTCACCGTGGCTCTTGATATCGAAGCGCAGAGTGGCTTGCAGATAGGAAGACTTGTGTAGAGTATGGCTGTTGATAAACGAATCAGTATACAAAGCTCGACTTGTTGTAAAATATTGCATACAATCGGTAATTTTCAACAGGTCACGGAAGAGACGGAGATTCATTCCCCTCATTCATAAATGCAACTACAGGACATGGTAACCAACCACAACAGAGAATCTAATCTGCTTCAGTAACTACATCCTAGGAGCTGTAAGAATTGGTACAATGAGGATAGTAAAATTAATGGAGATGTCCAAGATGAGCATGTCAAGCAACATTAAGTAACACGTTTCACAAGTAGCGGCTGTGTTAGAAATCCAAAACTTTTCGATCGGCTAACATACGTACGAAATTCCCAGTTACGCTGCAAGGAACCGGCTGGTGCCAAAGATCAGATAAAAATTGAGAAGATGGATGTCAAATGACCTTGAGTATAGATTGGCTAATTTGCCGAGTGGGAGGGACAGCAATGGAAAGGCAATCGTAGCAAGATTGAGCTGTAAATTTAAGCACAAATATCACCAAAGGAAATTCTATAGCGAATCGAGGACGCGATTCGTCAGGGTCCAGTCCACAGTCTCCTAGACGGACGAAAGCGGATACACGTTTGCATGGATGAAGGCACGTATGGACAGGTCATGCACATAACCATGCACAATCTAACAAACTGGATATACGAACCTAACCCTAACGCCACGCGAGTCATTCCTATTTGGACCCAAACATGCTATTACTACAAGGAACTACTGGCTCAGAACACGCTGATGTAGTTGCCAATGCGCTCCTTCTGGTTCTGCGCAATGCACTCGGCTATCCATGTGATGTTGCGAATCTCCTACGCAAGGGATTAGTTGTCATGCTCAGCAAATGCTCGTGACTTGCAACATACCTGTTCCCGTAGCTTTACCCATGCGTACACGATGGCGTGAGTAAACTGGTGGGTGAAGGCAAGCTTCGAAATCTCCATCTCTTTTTGGTAGAACAAATCCTCCAAGCTTCGTGTCTCGCCACCAACACCACCAGCCATGTTACCCACGCCGCCATTGCTGCTCTGACTGAGGCCAGTCTGGTCGAAGAACATCTTGTAGTCCGCGACACTCTCAACCGCGATGCGCACGCCCTCCACATCATCGGCTCTTGATAGCATCAATGTGCCCTCGGGGTACAGCTTGCCAAGCTCTGGGTACAGCTTCTTCCTCTCAGCCTTGGAGAGTTCGGTACCGAAGGAGTTGAGGGAAATGTTGATGCTCCTGCGGTCGGCTTCGAATTCCAGGACCTCAGACATGACATCTGCGGTTGGGGTTCCTGCGATTTCGGGGCAAGAGTTGATCCACTGGTGGAAGTCCTCGAGGTAGTTCTTGTACAGGGTGTTGCGGATAATCTCAATGTTCAGTTCGTCCAGGTCCTGGTGGCTGAGCGAGCCCTTGAAGTAGGGCGCAAGCGGCGTCTCAATCAGGACCGAGTTGTAGAGTTCCTCGATATTGGTGGCGACGCACAGCACCGGCATGGTCTCGAACCAGCCGAGCGGGTGGCATCTCTCCAGCAGCTCGCGCGTATCCCTCTCATGCAGCGTACCCGTAATCAGCAGCGCGACGTTGTCGATCATGTATCCGTACGTCAGGTACTCCATAAACTTGGACAGCGAGCCGGTCGCGTTGGCCTGGAGATAGCGGAACTCGGCCACCAGCTTGTCCGTGGTCTTCGCGGCGAGGGCAGACGTCGATGGGTTTGGCGGCAGCGAGTTGAGGAAGTCGCCATATGCAGGCGCAAGCTGCAGCTTGACATCTACGGCATCGTCAGCGAGTGTCCCGAAGCAGCGCCGATCGCATCAGATGTACCGTCGATGGTCTCGCACTGGGTCAAGTTGCTGTAGTTCTGGCTGGTGAGCAGCGCATTGCGGTAGCCGCGCACGATGCCCTCGATGTAGCTGCAGGCGTGTGTTAGCGAGACGGGCCGCTGCGCGATGCATGTGATGCGTACCCGTATTTGACGTTGTAGTAAAGGCCCTCCATGATGCTGATGCTGGCAGCAGTCTGCCGTCGCGGGCGAAGAGCTCCCAGCTTGGTCGTCATGCCAAGGCGTGGCCCGTGTCGCGCCTGCCTCGACGGGCTGGGCTGGGGTGTTTACGCACTAGGCCCAATCGCCGGCTGTGCAGCGACAACTTTCTTAAGTCCATCGTCACTTCCTCGCTCGCACCCCCAGACCCCAACTCCCATCCCGCCAACCCCCCCAAGCAGTTGCATCGCCCATCGCCGCATCGTCCCGTGACCGGCAATTGCACAGCAACTGCTCAGTACGTCTCCCCCGTCGCTGCGCATCGCGCTTACTAACCTCGCCCGCAGCGCCATGTCAGCTACTGCTACCCGGCGCTCAACGCGTCGCACGGCGGCAGCGGCCGCCTCCGCCGAGTCTGCACACTCTGCTTCGGAGCATTCGCAACAGGAGACGCCCCCGCCAGAGGTTCCCAAGAAGAAGGCCCGGAAAGCAAAGGCCGTCACCACCAAGGCTGACCCGCCGACCGCGACAGAGCCGCAACAAACAGTCACCAAGACTCGCGCTACGTCACGCGCAAATGCCGCCTCGACCACCGCCACGGCTACCACCACTACTACCACGTTGGCCAAGACTGCGGCGACAACAACAACGACACCGGCGCCGCCCGTCGCGAGGAAGCTCACCAGAGCCAGTCGCGCGGCAGTCGTAGAGGCCGGCGGACAGGCCTCACCACAGCGCAGCTTGGACGAGGTCAGGCCCGCGAAGCGTCCACGCAACAGCACCCAGCCCAAGGGTACCAGTGAGAAACGAAGGGCATCGACCGCGAAACTGGCGTCTAAGAACGTGACCAACGAGGATGAGAATGGAGACGGCGAAGGTCTCTTCTTCACAACGAGTAAGATCCCCAACTTTCCTACTCCCGAAAAATCAGTACATGTCGCCAATGAGATGCTGCGGCAAGAGAATGGGAAGCAGCGCAGGGAGATTGACAATCTCTACATTCGCGTTTTGGACCTGGAAGCTCGCAACCAGGCCCAAGCGCAGGCGATTTTTGAGAAAGACCAGCAATTGAGCGCGTATGAAAGCAAAATTCTGCGCCTGGCGGCTGAGAACTCGCGTTCGCATCATCTCACAGAAGTTAGCTACGGCCCACAGGCTAACCAATACTACCCAGAATTCGACAGCGAACTATTAAGCACGACCGAGCCGCCTCCAGCCCAGCCTGTCTTTGTGAATGGCTCAGAGTCTGCCCTTGCTCTTCTCAACAAGATTGAGAAGTCGGCAAAAGAGATTTCGCGCGTTGAGCCCGCAATTAAAGACAGTGAGACACATTCCGACAATGAAGCTAATATGGAACCTACGCCGTCACAGTCCGCGAAAAGGACATTTACCCAAGTCTCAGCCACGCCCGATCGTGCTGTCGAGAAAGCCTCAAATATCTTCAGCAGGTCCTTTTCCGCCTTGAAATCCCGATTCTTCTCCAGCCCCAAACTCCCGCCTACCTCTGAGGTTACTTCGCCCACCCCCACTAAGCCTTTACCACCCAAGGATACGTTGACAGAAACGCTTTCGCTTCCGCCCACACCTGTTGGTGAGCGTGTCAAGACACCAAACAAAAGGCGCGCACCGACAAATACTATGATGAAGGTATTACTCAAGGGCGTCGATCAGGAAGACAAGCGCAAGGCCGAAGACTGGGCTAGGCAAGTCATTCCTGAGCTCAGAAACGATCTTGCGTTCCGCGAGAAGCGCAGGCGACTTGAGACGCCTGTCCTATGCAAAGATCTCAATTTCTTTCCATCGGCCAAGCCCTGGGAAACTGGCTTCGGCGATCCACTGGGTGATTTGGACGACGACGATGTCGTCCCAGCCTGGGCTGTCTATCTTGACATGAAAGCCGAGGAAGAGGAGCACGCCGCTAAGAGACACAAAAAGACTCGCAAGAGCATCGCAGGAGACGAGGAGGTTCCCACCATTGACGAACAGTTTGCTGCTAGCACTGGAGCGCGCATGTCACCCAAGCTTTACAACAGCCATGGCCACTCGGCTTCTCTCTACGACATCCGTCCCCGTCGTTCAATAGACCCCTCTCCAATGTTCTCCAACTTGTTTTCACACAGTGAAGGTGGCAATATCTTTAGCGAACTTCAAGGTCAGGAGACTGCTGCAAAAATTCGTGAGAATGACCGTGAAACCCTCAAGAGCGCGACTAAAGAGACGGTCCATACTCAGACGCAAAAGTCTGTGGGAACTTCATTCAGTGTGCCTGATGACTCTGATGAGGAAGACGCGACTACAGAGACCGAGACGCCTGATGCTGAAGCTACCCCAATCTGGACCCAGCCACCACCACCCGCTCCTGTCCCCGCACACGCACCGTTGCCGGGAGGATCTGCAGCCGAGCCACCTCTCAGCCCTCCGAGCCAACAGCCAGTGGACGAGATTGAGCGCCAGCGTCAAAGACTCATGAAGCACACACCTGCTAAGCCTTCTCGTCTTCGTGAAGCTACCTACCCGTCACCAAGTGTCTTCTCAGACGCTGGCAACGAATCTATTCTTGCCGCTACCCCTGTTCAGGTCCCTGCTTCTGCAGCTTCCATGTTTGCTGACATGCCGACCGCGGAAACCATTGAGCTCGATGATGAATGTCAGGCTGCTTTCAACGATCTCATCAACTCGGATGAATACAAGCAAATTGCAGCCAAAGCCTGGCCCGCAGCTACTGTCACCTACGATTCAGACGAGGAGGAGCTCAGTCCCGCCTCTGCCTAATTTCTTGTATCGCATTGCATTGTCTTTGCTTTTAACCTTCTTGTCCACAAATTGAGTACAGACGAACCGGACTGGCGCTCTCGCCTTGGGAACATGTTTCCTATATTGCATTGTTCGGGTATTTGCATAGCCAGGGGTTATTGTCGTTATTCATTTTAGTTTGCTCTTCTTCGCGTGTAGTATATATTAGGCGACGGGCTCCTTTTTTTCTGATGGCGTTTTGTTAGGGGCATAAAAGACGGATGATTCATGATTGCTGTATACCCCTTTCCCCAGCACATGACGATCTCTGCATGGTCGCTCAATCAGGCATAAGAATTAGCCTACTGCATATTGCATTGTTGCTTGTCGCTTGCTGCTCACTGCTCTTTTCGCCTGATGTCTGCTCTTCTCGCGCTCCCACTTCATGGCATACGTTTGCACGCACCTGCTCTTTAGTCCCGTCCTTCCCTGCTGATAAAAAGCCTGTCGATTTTCTCTGCTTTTCGATTTGCCATTCAGTGTGATGAGGTTGTCTGGACTGATTTCATATCTCCATTTATTTCTCAACACTAACTACACAGATGCTTCTCTGCTACCGCCATCATCCCTTCCATCCTTATCAACACATTCAGCCACCAAGTCACCCCGCCTGGTACACCGGATTCTCCGTCTTGTAGTAAATCGTCTTCACCGGCTGTCTCATGGCCGCATCTCTAAACTTATTCCTCGCACTGACTTCCTGCCGCCGCATCTTCTTGTCCAGCGTCACGAGACTGCGCAGCTGCTCCGCCGATAGTCCGGATAAACTGAGATCTTGCTTGCGTGTATTCGGCACCAGCGACGTTGTAGGTGGCTCCGGGAAGGAAATAGAGTGTGCGAGGGGAGAGAGTGCGAGAGCTTGGGTTTGCGCTGCGCTAGGAGTGGGTGTAGCGGTGCAAGGTGAAGTAGCAGTTGCCACGGCTCTCGGCTGCTGCTGCTGCTGCTGCGATGAGGTTTTCAGCCGTATATGCGCCGTCCTGGGTCTATTCCGCCGCATTTCCCCATCATGTATACTGTTATGAAGTCGAGAATTCACGACTACACCCGACGGCAATCGCATTTCCGTTAGACCCAGCATCCTCACTTTATCCCCCGCTTCTCCGTCTTCTACCATCTCCTCTTCTTCTTCGTCCTCTTCAACCTCACACCTGTCTTCACACAGAAATTCGGCATAATCTTTTCCGTCGAGCCGGCAGTGCCCTGTGTCTCGCATGTGGCTCTGCACACTGTACACATTTGCCTTGGTGCGTCCGCAGCAAATGCATTCGTGGTGCGAAAAGACGAGCTGAGCGAGGTAGGAAAGCAGGGGCTCGATGGAGAGGTTTACGGGTGCTGACGGGATGAAGAAACTGTGTGCTGTGCACATGTGTGTCAGGTTTTCCTGGGTCTGTGGGAATGAGAGTGGGCAAAAGAGACATTTTGCTGTTGAGAGCGCTGGTTCCGAGTCATGGTCATCGTCGTTCTGGAAAGCGGAAGAAGTGCTGGAGTAGTCGTCGCTGTCGGCATCTGAATCCGCAGTCTCGCTGGTCTCCTGATGAACCCCATCAATGCGTCTTTGCGCTGTTGAGCTAGCACTCTGACTGTCGTTCCATCGACTCTTTTCCCTAGTATCTTTCGCGCACTCGTCTTCGCGCTCGGCAAAGTCCAGTTCGGATAGCGCTGGTAGCCCTGATACTTTGCGTTGGAGATTATGAATACTAGTTATATTTGTTAGTTCTTTTCCTTCGCTTTCTGTCTCTCGATAGCTGGCATATACGTGTAGATAGTGAGGCAAGAAAAGAAGAAGAAAAGTTAGGTTTCCTTACTGCCACGCTCCTCTCATATGGCTCCTCTGGAGCCCACTATTCGCAAAAGAAAGCGAACACGTATTACACGGAAACACTGTCCGCGACCCCGATGTTTCATCCGCCATGGTTAATTGTTGTTCCGACGTGGTTACTTGTTGTTCCGACGTGTTGGTTGAGACCTGTGGTTTGTAGTTTGCAGTCGTAAGCTGTAAATCAGAAATCACTGCCTGGTTCAAAAGGGCAAAGGTGAGCTGAGATGATGGACTCCCTGATTTCCAAGGCAGCAAGGCCATTATATAGTTGAGGGAAACTACATTTTTAGAATCATAGTCGTTGTATGGTAGTGTTACGTTACGTGATGAGACAGAGCAGTTGGTGAGGCGCAGCTACATGCAAGCCTCAAATGACTCATTTTGAGTCCTACTGCAATCACACACGCGCCAAGGCATTCCCAATCAACAATTGTATTAGGCGAAGTATGAGTCTTTTGTGGCTTGAGCCCTAGGTTCTAGTCCAGAATTTACGTACACAGAAATAGGATTTAAGATTCAGATTCAATACAGGATGCCTCTATCATGTGTCTGTTCACTCCGAAGCCGCCAACGCGTCTTTACGCCTCCTCTCCTCTCCCTCCTCTTCAATCCTCGCTATCAATCTGTCTGCAAGAACCCACATATCTTGATTTTCCTCCCCCAAGATCCTCCGACTAGATGCTAGGAAACGCTGCTTGAACACGATCCACAACTCCTCGTCGGCCGCCTCGCCAGTCCCAGGCCGAGGGTAATAAGGATCGTTTCTGAAAAACGCGGCGCAGGCCTGCTCGATGCCTGCTTCGTTCATCTGCATCGGCTGGCATCTATCAAAGTCGAGAAGCCACATGCAGTGAGCGCCCAGATAGTCTGATTGGAAAGTGGATGCATGTGGATGCTTTGCTCGCGGAGGAGCTAGCACAAATTCAACATCATTCGCGTCTATTCTTGCGCCCCAGTGCATCAGCGCGAGGGCTTCTGCCATGGCCTCAGCGTAGGATTTGTAGTCGAGACCTAGCATACGCATCTGGTCGATAGGAAGAGGCACGTTGCGCAGACTGAAGCGCTAGAACCGCGATGTACTTGTTCCGTCTTGTCTGTGCCGGCGTTGGCGCCCTAGATACGGTCGAATTAAGCGTGCATCGTCGCCGGGGTTGCTTTTGACAAAAGCCGATAGCCGAGCGTTGTCAGCGCAGAAGACGTCTACGATCTTGTCGCTGATAGATCTGGGGACTTTGGGTATGCGTTCTGAAACTAGTGCTCTACAAACGCTGTAGCCGGGAGGAAATTGCAGTAGACGTGAGTTCCACCAGGTTTCGTTGGTGGGTTGGATTAGCTCGTGACACTGTGGTATTAAGAGAGGCATCGAGAGAGGGTGATGAGGTGCGCTTTGGAGAAGCTCGAGGTGCATGTTGTAGTCGTTCGTGACAGATCGATCGGGCCCGCCATCTTCGCGCTTTATGACGATGTGTTGGTCATCATCAAGAGTCCAGATGCTACCGCAAAAGCCCTTTCCGATACAGTGGTATTGTGTGCTAGACTGTGGCATAGTTGAACGTGTATTTGGCATGTGTGAAGACTGGTGTAGTGTGATGGTTTTTCTGATGTACAAATGACCATACTTAAGGAACATAGAGGCTTAAGGTTGCGGTTCACGATTATCTGGTACCACGGTAGTAGTATGCAGTGAGTCAATGAGGATTAGTAATTGCTCGCACCATTCTGACCATGTTTCGTCTGCTAGGTGTAAACTCAAGGGTGCTTCGCAATTGCTATTAATGCATATGCTTCTCGATTAAAGTGGAAACCGGAAAGAAATATGTAGGATACCAACAAAGTACAACTCCACTTTATAAAGATTACACTACAGACATTCATCTGATCGAATACACATTGCTTCGTGGGATACATTTCATTCACCAGGATTTAAAAACATGGCCATACAACCCAAGCAAGGCATAGATCCGAAGATACGGAACGCCTACCAAACCAAAATCACATCCCTCTCATGAGCCACACCACCTCCTTAGACGTTGCCCAAAACGCCTGTAGCACTAATTGCTGTGATCCGTAGATTCCTCCCAAGTGGCATGATATCCGTGTTGCCCCGCCGTGTACAGTACCGCCTTACCACAAACGCCATGAAAACAAAGAAAAAGGGTGCTAAGTGTTCCGGTGAGCCTCCTACATGAAGAAGGTATCTGGAAGGGTTGAGAGAAGAGCAAAAGAGACGACCGCACCAGTAGCGCCAAGCAAAGGATAGGTAGCCTTGTTGAGCGCCCTCTTGAGAATAGAGCGAGGTACTTTCTTCGGGCGTTGAGAAATGGCTGCCGCGTTTTGAGTGGCAGAACAGTCATCCACTGGCGCTTGGATTGTTGAATCGCTGATCGTCTGCTCAACAACAGGTGCGCTTGCTCTGTAAACTTCCTCTTGGGCCACTACTACCTCCTCAAGTACGTCTGCCTTGCGCTTTAGGGATTTGACCGATTCTTGGGTTGGTGGCTGCTCATCAACAATCTCTTCAATTGACACCTTGGTACGTCGACCTGGTTGCTGCGGTGTGACGGCGTCAACATATGATGGTAGGACTGATGGATGTGTTTGAAGTCCGTGAGCTCGAAACAATGAATCGGTTTCCTGGACAAGAGACATAGCAATTTGTACATCCACAGGTTCTGAAGATGCCGGCGGAGGAGGGCTAAACAGGCAAGGCCGATCTCCAAAGTTGGTGCCTACATAATTGGCCTGCGATGTGTCGTCAGAGTACCAGTTTTGGGCTTCAGTCTGTCCGAACGATGGGTATGACAAGTTGCTCCAGGATGTATGCACGCACGCAGGACGGGGTGGAAGAGGCGGGGCCTCATCACCGTTGGCCGATACTGCGTCGCTGTTTGGGTATTTAGCGTCCTGGGTGACTGAGGTCAAGGGCTCCGAGTATTCAGCTTCGTCTATTTCATCATCAGATTTTTGAATCTCTGATTCAGACTCGGAGTCGATGTCGGAGCTATCGATACTTCCAGCCTCACTGTCAAAGTCGGTTCCAACAACCCCATCGTCATCTTCGACACCGTGGGGGTTGGAGTCGGGAGACAGGAGTTCATCCTGCCCTTGGCGTGTGGGATCAGTTGCAGGTACTTCTGCATCTTTTTTACCCTCATCGTAAGATTCATCGACAACGGTAGTACGCAACGCAGACTCAAAGTACAGCTCCTGAGCAAAGGCGGGAGACTTGAGGGGTTGTTCAGGCTGTAGAGCATCCACGAACATGGTGGTTTCTGCCTCGTTGTCTTGCCCAGCCTGCTCTGCAACCATGTCTTCGTCGTCGATAACAAACGGGTCGGCTTCGCTGCCACGACGTTCCACTTCCTCGTCCTCACTCTCGGCGTCAGGGACAGTGAAGCCGAGCGAGAAGGGGCGTGAGAGCTGCGACTCGAAGACGTATTGGCGGGCTACGAAGAACTCTGTGTAGCATGTCAGTTTCGTATTGGTGAGAGGTAGTCTAGGACACTCACCTTCGTTGCGGTTCACGTCGGTGCCAAACTGGAGTTCGTCTCCGTACTTGAGCTTGGTAGGTGTCTTGGGAGGCAGTCTCTGGCCGTTCAACATAGTGCCGTGCATGGAGCCTTGATCACTTATGTAGACCTCAGGGACGCCGCTGGTGGTGTTGGCGGAGAGGACAGCGTGCTGGCGAGAGATGACCGGGCTATCGATAAATGCATTGTGTGGTGCCGCCATGAGAGCTTTCTTGGTAACGCTGTTGGAAGCGCGGCCAATAGGGAAAGTCGAGTTTAAAGGCAGGTCGAATTGACGGGTCTCATACGTGTCGTAGCGCTTTGCGTCCCGAAGGACAATACGGAAGCCTGAGGGGTCAGTGAGCCACGAGTGGAGCATGACAGTGATGCAATAGGGATCTCACTTGAAGCCATATCGAGGACTTGTATCTCTAAGCAGAGTCTAGGAGAGGTAGATGGCTGTAAGAGTAGGAGGAGACAAGGTAGGGCAGGTGGGGGGGCCGCGGGTGAGCGGGGAAGGGAGGACAGTCGGGTGGTACGGCGGACCAAGAAGCAGGTGTGATGAATATATGATGCGGTTTGGTTGGAGGGAGAGGATCAAGAGACGATAGGCATTGAAGATAGACAGGCAGCCAGTGGTTGAATCCAACGTCGCCCTCAGTATAGGCGGGGCAGGGAGTGAATGCGTTAGGCAATGATGCGGCAGGCAGTGATGCTCCAGGTCACGACTGCCTTCCGGGGTACTATCAGCTTATCGGCCTGCATTAGCGCTGCAGCCCGGCCTTAGCGCGAATTTGGTACCCCACCCAAAATCTGCAGAGGCGCGGCCGACTTGGAGAGCCACACAGACTCTCTCACTCTCTCTCTCCTCTGGTCGCATTGCCGCCCAGAACATGACTCACCGCGCAACGACTATGCAAGAATACCGTGACGACCTGCGATAGCACCGCCGCCCGACCACTGAATCCCAGCACCACCTCTGCCGCCACCATGGAGGCGCCGCGCACCACGGCCAAGCAGCAGGTCGTGGACCGCATCCCCGCGCGCATCAAGCACATTCAGTTTGGCATCTAGTAGGGCACTCGGCTGTGGCGAACACGCTGAAGAACAAGACACATAGTAACTCTCTCCAGCTCCAACCAGGACATTGTCAACCAGGCCGTCCTCGAAGTGTCCGACCGCAATGTCTACGATCTCCAGCCCGCCGCCGACAACACACGCACCCTCACGGCCAACGGGCCCATGGACACGCGCATGGGCATATCGAGCAAGCAGGGAAAATGCGCAACATGTGGAGAGGGCCTCGATACCTGCAATGGCCACTTTGGCCACATCAAGCTTGCGCTGCCTGCCTTCCACGTCGGCTACCTGAAGCACATTATCGAGGTGCTCAACTGCATATGCAAAGACTGCTCCCGCGTCCTGCTGGATGAAGTCGAGCGGCGCCGCTATCTGCGCAGCATGCGCCGCCCGGACATGGACACTCTGCGAAAAGGCGCCGTGACGAAGAGAATCTTGGAAGACTGCCGCAAGAAGAAGACGTGCCCCTACTGCAATGGCCTCCAGGGCACTGTGCGCAAGGTCCCTGGCCATCCGCTCAAGATTATCCACAACCGATACGATGCCTTCAACCGCTCCACAGCCAAGACCAAGAAGCCGCCAGCTGGCAAAACCGAGTTTGACCAGTCGTTTGAGACCGCAAAGTCCGCCAATCCTGATCTGGACAAGCACCTAAAGAAGGCTGTCGACGATATGCATCCGCTGCGAGTACTGAACCTCTTCAAAAAGATCTCGCCCGAAGACTGCGAGCTTCTGGCTATGATACCCGAAGATGCGCGACCGGAAATGTTAATTTGGGAGTACATGCCAGTGCCGCCCGTAGCGCTGCGACCGTCGGTCATGCAAGAAGGAGGCGCAACGGAAGATGACGTGACCAACAAGATTGGAGACATTTGCCAGATCAGCAGCATAATACGTGCGGGTCTCGCACGCGGCTTTCCGCTCCAGATCCTAATGGAGCAGTGGGACTTTCTGCAGCTGCAGATTGCCATGTACATCAACAGCGATGCGCCGGGTCTCAAACAGCAAGGTCTGCAAAAGACTATGCGCGGTTTCTCTCAGCGTCTCAAGGGCAAGGGCGGTCGGTTCCGACAAAATCTTTCCGGAAAGCGTGTCGATTTCTCCGGTCGTACAGTCATTGGTCCCGATCCAAACTTGAGCATTGACGAAGTCGCGGTGCCGGAGCGTATAGCCAAGAACTTGACGTATCCCGAAAAAGTCACGCGGTACAACATCGAGAAGCTGCAGCGGCTGGTCAGGAACGGGTCGAACAAGTACCCTGGAGCCAACTACATACTCAACGACCAAGGCCCGAACAAGGAACGAGGCAAGATCTCTCTCATTGCCCTTTCGCGATTCGATACCAAGGGCGAACGTCTTGAGGGTGCCTCGAAACGACTCAAGATTGGTGACATTGTTGAACGCCACATTGAGGATGGCGACATTGTTCTCTTTAACCGCCAGCCGTCTCTGCACAAGCTCAGTATTCTGAGCCATCGAGCAAAAGTACGACCGTGGCGAACGTTCCGACTCAACGAGTGTGTATGTAATCCTTACAACGCCGATTTCGATGGTGACGAGATGAACTTGCACGTTCCACAAACCGAAGAAGCCCGAACCGAAGCTACCGAGCTCATGGGCGTCAAATACAACCTGGCTACCCCGAAGAACGGAACACCAATTATTGCCGCTATTCAGGACTTTATCACAGCAGCGTACCTCCTCAGCAACAAGAACAACTTCTTTGACCGACGCACTTTCTGCCAGATAGTGAATTACATGTTCAATGGCGAGGGAGCATTCGACCCGGACACTGGCAAGAGGCATCCCATTGATATTCCGCCCCCAGTCATTTGGAAACCGCAGGCCCTCTGGACTGGAAAGCAGGTCTTCAATCTCCTGATGCGGCCGTACAAGAAGTGCAGGGTATTGGTCAATCTCGAAGCTGCGTGCAAGCAGTTCAAAAACACGCCTGACCAGCCTCCTGACCTAAACGAGAACGATGCATATCTGGTCATTCGCAATTCCGAGGTCATGTGTGGTGTCATGGACAAGGCCACGGTTGGTGACGGTAAGAAGGACTCGGTCTTCTACGTCATGATGCGAGATTTCGGCCCCGACCATGCTGTCCAGGGCATGAACCGGCTCTCCAAGCTTTCTGCGCGATGGCTCAGCAATAATGGTTTTTCGCTCGGTATCAGTGATGTGACCCCAGGAGAGAAACTCAACAAGAAGAAGCAGGCTCTCGTAGAGGAAGCGTACGCCAAGTGCGACAAGTTGATTAAGGACTTCAAGGAAGGAAGGTTGCAGCGCGACCCAGGTTGCGACGAAGAGCAGACAATGGAAAACAGGATCGGTGGTATTCTATCTGGTGTCCGTCAAGCCGCCGGTGACATTTGTTTCGAAGAGTTGAGCAGGTGGAACTCTCCTCTGCTCATGGCCAAGTGTGGTTCAAAGGGATCCAACATCAACGTCTCTCAGATGGTTGCTTCCGTCGGACAACAAATGATTGGTGGTGCTCGAGTCGCCGACGGCTTCCAGCACCGAACACTGCCTCACTTTCCTAAGGCTGCACGTCAGCCCGCCTCCAAGGGTTTCGTCAGTAACAGTTTCTTTTCTGGCCTGACACCGTCCGAGTTCATTTTCCACGCTATGAGTGGCCGTGAAGGTCTAGTCGATACCGCTGTCAAGACTGCCGAAACCGGTTACATGAGTAGACGATTGATGAAGTCTTTGGAGGATCTCTCTGCACAGTACGACGACACTGTCCGAAACTCGTCTGGCACGGTCGTACAGTTCCAGTATGGAGACGACAACCTCGACCCCGTGGACATGGAGGGTAAGGCCAAGCCTGTACACTTTGACAGGACCTTTTCACATTCCGTCACCTCGACTTGGGACAACTCCGAGCCTAGTCTAACGCCCCAGGAAGTCCGCGAATACACCGAAGCTAGGTTGAATACCCAGCGGAATAAGTATCCTAGGTACATGTTGGACGGGGTGACGGAGCTGGAGTACCGCGACCAGACCGACAGGGGCATTGATCAGAAAGAGTCTATGCGTGACTTCCTCGATACCGTGCAAGAATACGTATTCAAGAGAGCGCAGAAACTGGAGATGACACTCGCATACCTCGGGATTGTAGAAAAAAATGACAGAAAAGGCAAGAAACAATCAGCAGCCGACGCCGACAAGTACAGCCTTGCGGATGGTATCGCCAAGATTTCGCAGAGCGCGCTTGATACCTTTATCACGCTCTGTTTGACAAAGTACCACCGTTCCCGTGTTCAGCCCGGCCACGCTGTAGGTGCCATTGGAGCACAGTCTATCGGTGAGCCCGGTACGCAAATGACACTCAAAACTTTCCATTTTGCGGGCGTCGCTGGTATGTCTATCACCCAGGGTGTCCCCCGTATCAAGGAAATCATCAACGCCTCCTCCACCATCTCGACTCCCGTCATCGCCTGTGAGCTTTCCAACAAGGTGTCCGAATCTGCGGCGCGAATCGTCAAAGCGCGTGTCGAAAAGACTTACCTCCGCGATGTCATCTCCTATGTCGAAGATGTCTGGCATCCGCATGGGGCCTACATCGCCATGCGCATCGATTGGGACACTGTCAACCAACTGTTTGTCGACGTGCAGCCCCACGAAATTATCGCAGCCATCAACGCCCACAAGCCGCTCAAATGGGGCAAGGCTGGCGCAAACGTGCGCATCTCCTCATCCCTCATTCGTGTTGAAGTTCCCGACCCCAACGCCGCAAAGAAGCGTCCCGTCAAGACAACACGTAACCACAAGGAATACTTTGAACGCGTGCAGCAGGTCAAAGCGCTCATTCCAGATGTCGTCATCAAAGGATATCCAGACTGTTCGCGTGCCATTATCAAGAAAGAAAGCAGTCCCAACGCGCAAGGTCAATACGAATGCCAGCTTCTCGTTGAAGGTTACGGTCTACGAGACTGTATGACAACCCCAGGAATAGAGCCCTACAACACAAGATCCAACCACGTCATGGAAGTCAAGACTGTCCTCGGTATCGAAGCCGCGCGCGCAACCATTGTCCGTGAAATCGGCGATGTCATGGGCAACATGGACATTGACCCGCGTCACATGCAGCTTCTTGCCGACGTCATGACCTTCAAGGGCGAAGTGTTTGGTATCACGCGTTTCGGTCTACAAAAGACACGCGATTCAGTCTTGCAACTTGCTAGTTTCGAAAAGACACCCGATCATCTATTCGAGGCTGCTGCTCGCGGTAAAACAGACACGATTGACGGTGTCAGCGAGTGCATTATCATGGGTCAAAGCGTCAAGTTGGGTACTGGTGCCATGCAAGTCGTTCGGCCTCTGTATCTCAGCGACAAGGATTTGAGTGTTAAGAAAACAATGTTTGAGGATGGGTGGGATGCCCTGTGATGTTGATGATGTATATGAGAGGAGAAAAAATTTGGCGCGATCAAGGGAATTTTTGTACATATGCATGGGCATGGCGTATGATGTTTTGAGCAAAGTTTTGCAATGCATAGCGATGATGAGTATGGTGTCTTTTACATGTTGCACTTTCGACTTCTTCTCACGTTGGATTGTGAAGTCTGTTGTGACCTGATGAAGATATAGGTCATTTTTTGTGACTTGATGACTTTGTGACTGTCTTTTTCTTTTTCTCTCGCTAGCTGTCGAAGTTGGATTTGGATGCAGTGTTATCAGCATTTATTTACGTGGCATTGTCGCTCCGTACTAGGAAATAGAACAGTAGCGTGATACGGAGTCGGCTTGGTCAGGACAAGGGAGAAAGTGAAAGAAGAAAACTCTGATCTTTAGACTGGTTTAGATATATCACACAGGACACATGCGTATGAGATTATCTCAAAGATGTGAAAAGAGAGCATAGGAGCAAGATGGAACCAGCATCCTCAGCCGTTGAATCCTCGAATCTATGTACATGCCACTCCAACCACCGAATGGATATATTAACTTGGACTCTCCATCCCCTGCTTGCCTCATAGATAAGCGTAAGTAGGACTCTGCGCATAACCAGACATACAACACGGTCAAGTATTAACACACACCACAGAAAATCACTGATTCTGCAACGAATCCGCAATCATGTACCCATGCCTCTGTCTCTCTGTCTCTCTCTCTCTGCTTTACTAGCGTGTAAATCCACATATCGCAGCATATAAAACGCACACGCACACGCATACCTGTACCACCATAGCACCGCATCGCATCATACAGCCTATCTTATCACGGCACAGCCTGGCATCGCAAGCAAGCAAGAAAAGTCAGACCCCACGCACACACGCGCGCATCCTTCAATCCTCCAATCTGTGCATTCTCACCCACCCCCTTTTCCGGCCCCCAACCTCCCACTCTGCCATCCAACCAACCAACCAAAAAAAAGAAGAAGAAAAGAAAAAAAACGTAAAAACGCCACTTATACAACCCCCCCCCCCCACCCCCAGCCAGCTCACTCCTTCGCCGTGGCAGCAGTGCAAAAGAATAGAAAGGGCCAATCAAAAGGACTGGGTGTGCGAATGTGTGAATGTGGGATTGTAGGACTCTAGGATTCTGGCCTTTGGGATTTTTAGAGTCAGTCAGTCAGTCAGTCAGTCAGTCAGTCAGTCAGCCCTACGTACGAGGCTGAGTGCTGTGGCGTAAGTACAGTGTAGGTAGGATAAGGAGGGAGAGAGATGAGAGGACAGGATACGTGCGTATTGCGAAATTGCTGATTGCGCATAACTACTTATTTTGGAGGTTTTTTTGGTGTTGGTGTTGTTGTTTGGGGGTGTGATGGGGGTGCAGAGTCAGTCAGCCTGAGGAAG